ATGGTGTTTTGTGAGGCCACAAACTGCACCAACCGCTCAAAATCGAAAGTAAGTACTTTTAAATTTCCTGCTGACCCCAAAATTCGAGAAGAATGGCTAAAAAATTTAAAAAGAGAATCGTTTCAACCAACAAAACATTCACGCTTGTGCGAAAATCATTTTACGATGGAAAGTTTTGATGAAAGTTATGCGATTAAATTTTCCCTGGATTTAAAACCTGGGAAGCCTCAGCTAAAAAAAAACGCAGTACCAACTATTTTTAACTTCGCCAACGTTGGACGAGACAGGAAAAGAAGAGGGACTGGTCAAAGTGAAAGTGAGGTTTCGGCCTTGGCGAAATGCAGAAAGTTGAAGGTAAGACAAGGATTTGTATCATTACTCATGCTGTCCTTAAATACTTACCGAAGTAAAAAGAGCAGTACCTGGTAAGCTTATATTAGTCAGGATAAATATATTATCTTAATTTGTTACTCTTTATTAGGCGCGGCTTTAAGTTACAGAGGGTGAAAGGATGTTGAAGCGTCTGATGTGCTTGATGTTTATGGCAGTTGTAATAGTCATCAATATATAAGCTTAAGCCATAAATAGCGTATGTCAAGTACAAATGGCTGACTTAGCAAACTCGAATTTCAAGGCGAGAACAACGCGAGAATCTCCTAAAAGTTGAACGAAAGCCAAAAATAGTGATGACGAGAAGCGAACTAACATAATACTACTCTTAATTGTTTCTTTCTAATTGTAGGTGCTGATGTGATGAATTTGTTACGTAAATAGGGTTAATATATTTCTTTATATTATTATATAAAAAAGGGAGCAGGAAGCGACAATAAAACTTGTTGTCAAGTTGGTTATAGACTTTTCTTCTATTTGGTGGTTCCTAAAAGAACCTTTTTTGTGTGGCTAGACCCATTCACTTAGTTTACAGGGTAAAGCTCAGCAATGTGTTGCTGGTGAGGTGATTACACATTACAAAAGAGGCTTGTTGAGGCCAAAAAAGTTATTGCCAGGTTAAAGCAAGAGCTATATCGCCGAGAGCCGTCGCATCAACCAGAGTAAACCGCAACAGACATCAAGGCGTGTTAGTTAAGGAACTCGACGTACGGTGCAGAAAAAGCCTTGGACGGTACATGCCGGTGATGTCTATAATGCGTCGAGAGAGGCAGCTGTTGCAAATTTTGAAGTTTGACGAGCGATTCTATACGAGTAAAGTTTCCACCACTGGTGGTTTTTTGAAACGGCTCCTTTAGGAGCCACAAAGTTTATAGAAGTCAATGACCAATAAAATTACGATAACTTTTTTCTATGCTCAAGCTCAACAATTCCAAACAAACTGATTGACCGTTCACATATTATAGAAATAAAAGACGTGAAATTTCATACTTTGTGAAAATTTAATAAGACTGATTTCTGACCTCCGATTCCGTGCAATCAATCGCCCCACTAGAATAGCTAGTAGTAAACGGCAGTACTTATTCTTCTTAAGAGCTGTGAAGGTGAGAAATTCCGTTGCCTTAAAATTTACGTACCTTCAGAACTGCTAAATCGGGACGATCCAGCCCTTAACATATCTGGCAGCACTGACCCGCACGTTGAAGCTCACACTCAGACGGAAGAAACTAAAGAAGAAAAACGTAGTTGTAAACGGCCAAGTTGTGTTTTCACTCTCCATGGAAACCTACGATCAAAGACACCAAACTCGCAGAATAAGTACAAAACAGTTGGAGTTCAAATATCACCAGAAAAAGTTGAGGCTGTAATTCAAACATATGGTAGGGTAGCCTACGACAAGTCATCCCAGACTACCAAAATAAGCCAGATACAGGTATGAAAATATCCTTTTTTCCTCAGTGAAAAACAACTCCGTTTTGTCGCCCAACGTGAGCAATCAGAAAGATAACGCCAATGCATTCAAAATCATATTATTTTAGGTAAGAAGCTGTCAAACCCAGACTTTGCGAATAAATTACAGATCTCTCCATGTGCAAACCCCTACTCCAAGAAGTAAGTAAAAATGAGTACATATCTAAAGCACATTGTGTCGCGCGGTTTAACCTTTGTAGCAAGCGCTTCACTTGGAAGTCAAATTCAAATCAAATCAAAATCAAATCAATTTTATTTAAGCTCGATAGCGTGAGGAGTGGTTGCCCAATCTCCCGAGCCAGGGGCTCATGTATTAAACGCTCGAGCATTCCGGATCGAATTGGAATTCAGAAATGTTGGTTTTTGCGGAGAGGGGAAAACCGGAGTACCCGGAGAAAAACCTCTCGGAGCCGAGAAGAGAACCAACAACAAACTCAACCCACATATGACGTCGAGTCCGGGAATCGAACCCGGGCCACATTGGTGGAAGGCGAGTGCTCTCACCACTGCGCCATCCCTGCTCCCCCGAAAGAAGTATTTGGCCGCACGAAACACTCTCGCGCGCTCGTTCTTTCTTGCGCCCAAATACCTCCAAGCGCCCTCCTACACAGGCTAAGGCTATAATAATGATTTGTTAAATTCCTGTTCGACTTTTTTTACGCTACTCCAAACTGCTATTTCTTTTAAATTAACAGTGCTTTCCAGTGCAGTTCAGTGTTCTCTATCCGATGGCGGCCCTCTACGAGTCTCCCAGCAACAGCCTGAAGTGCCGAGAAAATTAGAAATTCCACCTACTAAAAAAATGGAGTATGCTGAGGAAGAGTTGGATACAGGAAGTATATGCAGTGATGATTACAGCAGTGATGAAGAGTGGTTAGTATTTTCCCTGTAGCCGTCATCAGTTTAAAATATACCTAAAAGTAGTGGCCGAGCCCTTATGTTAGAGCTTTTCTATTAACAGATATTACTTGAATGTAATTTTAGGAATCTCGAAGACATAAAATCGGAGTGTGATGTCGAGGACAAATGAGAGGAGGACGAAGAAAGTGAAAATATAGAGGAGGAAACTGCGCCGTATGGAAGGAAGTTTTTGGTATTTGAAAGTAACCTGTTAGAACTTTTCCAGACGTGTAACAAATGTCTTGCACCATCAGCACCTAGAGTTGAAAAAGCAGTCGGCTCCATGATTGTCATTGTTTCAAAATGTTTAAAAGGCCACACGAAGACCTGGGTGAGCCAAAGATGTGATGGAAAGCTGCCGTGGGGAAATATGCTGTGTGCTGCCGGAACACTCTTTACAGGGAGTAATCCTGCAAGAGTAGCCGCCTTTTTCAAGCATATCGGTGTTCAGTATATATCCTTAAGGACTTACTACAAAATTCAGAGAGTTTACCTTGCCCCCGCAGTTAATCGATGCTGGGAAAATGAGCAACTGTCTCTTCTGCAGTCTCTTCAGGGCAAAGCAATAGCTCTTGGTGGAGATGGGAGGTGCGACTCTCCAGGTCATTCCGCTAAATATGGTGCATATCATCTGGTTGAGCTCGACCTTAATAAAGTTCTGGTTGTCGAACTTGTGCTGTTAAGTATCACTTTTTTACGTTTACATTTCATGCAGTCCACATTAATTTTTGTTATTACAGTGTATGCGCCAGTTCAAAGCAATCACGAAAAGTAATATATACATGTACTAACAGCCCTCGGCTCTTACGGAAAGTTAAGAATCTGTCGAGCATCTGGGGCCCTCTTAATTTTATTGGTCCGAGACCATATTGCAAGATAAATCAGTTTCCACTGAATTCATTGAAATCCTGGCTCAGTTTGTGTTTCTGGGTACTCGGACCTGAATTATGATACTGAACAGAACAAGATACCAATAAATCGAAGCCGGTATCGATAAACTAGTCCTGTTTACTCAGTTTTGTAGAGAACAGCCGTAGTGACTCTACCTTGTCTCCCACGTACCCGTTTTGGTCTCGTCATGTAACGCTCCTCCCTAACAAGGGGGGAGACTTTTCTTTGACCTTTAAAGCCAAAAACAAAACAGCGGCTTTCCGGGCCCTGTAATTACTGATACTTTTAGAAGAACTCACTGTGTTTTTAACTGGTGGGATCTTACTTAAACGAAGGTTGTACTTTTATTCTTTGGTGGGGGGAACATAATGAATGCAGGTTCTTTATTAGTACTTTGTTGCGTGTGAAGAACGATTAAATGGAAAATCTATTAATTGCAATGACTGAGGGTAGGGAACCCAAAGACATAAAGCCTTTGCCAGGTCTCTGCGCTCCTTTTGATCATATCTTTTTTTACTTTTAGAGCAATGAAGTTAAGAGTTCATACCATATGGAGCTCGAGGGCTTAAAAAGGGGTCTCACATTCATAAACAACAACGGAGTGAGCATCAAGACATTGGTTACTGACCGTCATTCTGGTATAAAAAAGTATTTGCGTGAGAACGAACAGGAAATCGATCACAGATTCGATTGCTGGCATGTGGCCACAAGTAAGTTATAAGACATCTTAAAACCTTTTATCAGGAAAGCTTCAAAACGGCGGAATTTAAAACGCAATTATTTAATATTCAAACAGCATACATACGCATTTTGAATGAAATAGCTTTTATTTCCTCATACTCAGAAACTGAGCGCAACAAAAGACCTTTCTACACAGTTGACTTGAAGGAATTTCTTGGCCAGTTTTCTGGGATCTACAGCTGTATGAGTACCGTTACAGACAGACCTCCCCTTTTTTAAGTGAAGCTTGTTTGAGTTGATGCACTAGCTTAATGATATGCCTGTATGTTTATGTCTGTTTTTTCTTTTTTTTTTTTCCAGACATATCAAAGAAGATAGAGGCTCTCCCAAAGAAAAAGTCGTGCACTGTTCTTGGAAACTGGAAGCAAAGTATCTCAAATCACCTGTACTGGTGTGCTGCCAGCAGCCATGGGGATGGTGAACAAGTAAAAGCCAAATGGCTCTCTATCTTAAATCATGTGACGAACATACACGAGGGACACTCAGAAACCTTTCCAGAATGTGCCCATGGTCCGTTAGAAGAGGAAAGGAAATGGTTAAGGAGAGGTAATGTTACCCAGGAATAAATCTAAATTATTATTATTATTGCAGACCCGATTTCTGTCTATATAAATGTGTGACCTTGTCGCTTAGAAGCCTTGCACAAGCACAATATAGGGAAGATGGGTTTCCACACTGAAACCCACATCTCCTTTAACGCTGTACATGTTATATGAGCAAACACTGTGGGATGGGTCGTACTGTTTATAGTACTTTTCTGAAAGGACTAGGCTAAAGTCTAACTCTTTGCATAACTTTCTTCACAGGTTCGAAAGCGTTCAAGGAATTGGATGGCATTATCACAAGCAAGTTTTTGCTGAAGGACATCCCAAAATTGTCCCCTGACAAACGGACATCCCTTGTCGAGGTCCTTCATAAAGTGGATATCTATTTTGCACCAAAACACACACATTTTTTCTACCAGGGAATGAAAGCAAGGTATAAACAATGTCTCTTAAATGGGAAGCGTTTAGACACTTATACTTTAGCATCTTTTTGGCTTACCGACTTACCACTTGCATAATAATAATTATTATGCAAGTGGTAAGCCAAAAAATCTATAATTATAATTATTATTACTGATATAATTAATATACAAAAAAATCCATGACTTCAATATTCTGCAAGGAAAACATGGTATTGTTTTGTGTGCTCTTGAGTAACTTTTGGTTTGCAATGGAGGGGTTCTAAGTTTAACTTGGTGTATTGTAAACTAAACACAAGTTATTGTTTCTCAATTTTAAGGCTCCAAATTGCAGCTCTTCATTTTAATGAAAATGCTAACAAGCCACAGAGATTGATCAAGGGAGGAGAAAAGGCAGGAGATGGGCAGTGGCTAGTATGCTACCCTAAATACAAGAAAGGAGGGGCAGTAGCGAAGGAAATCAAAGAAGCCTGCACATATGGTAATAAACTGATACACTAGAAATTTGGCATTAGGCATTTGGGCACATAGAACAATTGGATGATCTGGTTTAGTGACCACAAAACAATAGCTTCCTCGTGCCCAATTACCAATGCCAAAAGGAAGTTTAATTAAATCAGATATGTCAAACTGAGTTTACCTTTTGACCCCTGCATCATCTGATGAAATCCAGTGGTACTACCATCTAAATGACTGAACTTTTGATTAGCACAAGTTACTTCTCCAGATTATAAAAATTGACTTTTTGATATTTTAGTGAAATTTTACCACAACCACTTTAAGGTTACATTGTAAATAACAAGAAGGACAACAATGGATCAGAACGTCTTCAACATCACTAATATATTAGCTATGTGTACCTTACATGTTATTTTTCACATACACACACTAGCTCTTAAAACCGTAGGCTACACTATCCAACACATTATAAACACAGTTGAAGTCACAAGTGGTTCTCATTTTCTTTGCAGGTTACATCATGAGACTTTTTGAAGAGCTGCTGCAATTAAGGAGACAATTTCCCTCTTACAGTGCTGCAGAAAGAGAATTTAGACCAATGCTGCAGGCCATTCCCAGGCCCCTCACTAACCAGTGTCAAAGACAGGAAAAGGAGGCTGTTATTGCACAGCAAAAATCAAGATTTAACAGAATAGACTAGCTTTCTTTGCAATGCAGCGGAATTGAGCATCTTATTTGCAACTGATGTGTTGTTCCATATCCCATGGACCGCTTCTTTGATGTATTTACTGTAACTCGCTCCTTGAAAATTCAAGTTTGGCTTCATACTTTCCATAAATAGTGCTCTTTAAGACCACTCTCTACTTCTCTAAGAGAACACAAAAAACTCTCTTGGGAAAGGCAGCAAAATAGCCTTAAATGGTCCCAGGTTGACTCAGCTGAAAGAGTGCTAGTTTGCTAAGCAGGTTTGATCCCTGGTTAGATGACCAACTTCGGTCTTTAAAATTCTGGCAAGTTCATACTTGCTGTTGAGTTTCAAATAACCACCAGTGAGGGAAGGGAGGAATCAATAATTTCTGGAACCACACCATTCAGTTTCAAATGTGTTACACACGAAAAAATAGTAATCCTTCTCTTAAAGAAATACTATATTAATTACATTCATCATGAGGCTACCTGAGGTGACCATAATTCATTGCTAGTTTATAGTTCAATACACATGCATCACACACACACACATTACCTATGAACTACATTGCAAGTTGTAAACACGTTCTATTTGAACAACGTTAAGTACACAAGTGTAAAAGGGGGAAGCTCTTCACTATCTATGATAGATCTACAATTAAGTGTAATAGTTTTTACATGTAAAATGTAACATTAATCTTCAAGCGTTAAACTTAAACATGTAACATTAATGTTCCTGAAACAGACTCTTTATACTCTTTCCAAAAGAACGTATACATGCATGGCTGATAAGATAATTCAGCGAAAATCTGACCTGGAGCTAATGACAATGTTATAGACGGATGATTATTTCACCTCACAAGGAAGACTAAAGGAATGTTATTCAGTAGTCACAGAATCTAGATTTCTGGACTCTTTACCAGAGGCCCTCCAAGCCCATATAATCAAGATGTTGTCATATTATTATCTTGTGCACGGTTCCAGAAAATATCAATACAACCTACCACAAAAGGTTCCTCAAAATTCTGAAGAGGGAGGGAGAAGACCTTAAGGGAAGAGAGGTTTCCCAAAAAAAATTCCCTTTCATTAAGGATAGCATCTAGATTTTTTGGGAAGTTAATAATATACAACATTGACAGTTAATGAGCATATTCAAAGCCCTTATAGTTTCCACCTTCACTTGGAAAACTCTCTCTTATTTGTTTCACCACACATGATGGGATTGGGATTCTGATTTTCCTACCCAGCTTCTTGTGAATCCAATATGTGTATTGCCTGTAGGCAACATATCTGTAGGTACTAACAAGGAAAGACAGAAGAAGTCATCCCAATGTAATGCAGAAATAAATTCAAAGCAAGCTACGGCAATTGAACATTAATTATGATACGTAAAGACCACAAAGGCAGGGAGTATTACATCTCAGGAAGAATTATACTTGGGTGATGTCATTATACATGTACTTAGCAGCAGCCTGCAAACGGAAACCAACATCCTTCTGACAGTAAAATGACTTATCTATGCTTCAGACAAGACCTAACTCCCACAGTATCCACATTTAGATCACACTAACTTAAAAATACTGATCTTTTACGCAGTAAATCCCCAGATGGCTTGGATGTTTAGTACATGTAGAAGTCACAAATAAATACGGATTGGTGTTTTCAAAGCAAAATTATAACAATGTGATGCATACATACTCATTCAGAGATTCATCATCTATTGGGCCTTCATTTTCTAAATACTGATTAAACGCTGTTTCAATAACAGCTGGATTCGTGCACACAGCATTGAAATTCTCGTTATCAGTTACACATGACATGGCAGGTGGTATCTTATCGCAGGACTTGGCGTTTTCACGGCAGCAAGTGCTCTCCCGCCCAGTGTGCATGGGTACACAGTTTCCACAAATACACCTATATTAAGAGTTTAAGATTGTTCATGACAAAATTGTATCAAAACAGTAAAATTTCCAGCATGTTGATGTAACAATTCAAAACTCAGCATAAACATGAGTCAGTCATATAAAAAACTCTGCCCATTCACGCATTGCATAGTGAAAAGTGGTTCGAGAAAGACAATAAATGGACAAATGAAAACAAGAAACCTTTCTGGAGTTAAATTCAACAGTATTTATTGCCAACTTTCCAGAAACAACAGAGGGAATGAACGAAACGCTCACCATTCCACGTGACCAATTCGATCCTCGTTGACATCGTCCGAGAATACATCGCTTGAGTCATCCGAAGCGGAAGATTCTTCTTCTGAAACAGTTGGCTCAAACTGGTACGGCTCAACTTCCATGTTCAAAGTTAAAAAATGGTTAAACCAGGGCAAACGCGACAAAAATGGGAACAAGAACAAAACACAATGAAGACAACACGAAGCAAAAAGATGATGGCTGCTCGGACCAACATTGACGTCACTAGTTTCCATTTTCTCCTGTCAATTGCGCGGCCATTTGAGAAACGTTTTCGTGAAGTCTTCGTAAATGCTCGGATTTTGAACTTTTATCTTTCTATAAGGGCTTGGGAAGAAAAATCTTTACCCGAATCTTACTTAGGATGCTTCTATATAGTGTTTGGTGAAGGAAAAGAGACAAAAGAAAATATGTCAATTTTTTGGTTCATTTGTCCTTTAAACCCTTCCACGACTACAGTTTATGCTCGATCTGCATTTTAGCGGGGCTCCTACGCGCGCGAAGCGCGCGTGGGACAGAGCCCCATACTCATGGAATATGGTCAACCTCTTTTCGTTTGGTTGTCACGTGATTGACCGAGCGTACGTACGTACGTACGCGTCTACAGATTGTACGGGTGGGGTAGGGGAGTCTATCAAAAGGAAGGGAGGGGTGTCTCAGGCGTGTCTTGGCAAGTCCACATCTTTAATATAGGATTTTAGGACATTCACAATATGGTCAATTGACAGCTGTCAAAACAGGATAGCCACTGACCAGTATCCCATGACCATATCGCGGGCTCATGTGTCAACTCATCGACGTGACGTGATTTGTTTGGAAGCTGTCCGCTGACCAGTTAATTGTTTTACTAGATCGCGAACAATGTTCAATCTCATTCAATCTCATACGTTTACTAGTTAAACTGATAACGCACAATGCACACATATTGGACATCAATGTTTTGATCAATTGACAGCTGTCAAAACAGGGTACCCGCTGACCGGTATCACTTGACCGTATCGCGGGCTCAGGTGTCGACCCATCGAGGTCAAGTATTTTTTGAAGTTATCCGCTGACAAGTTACTAGTTTTCAAGTGATCGCAGGCTCAAGTTCAAGGTTTTTCTAAATTCATATGAAATATGTTGTGTTTATGTGCTACACAATTAAAATTTTGATTGCAAACTGACCTCGGACGCGAAAATTCAGCCGGCTGTTACAGGCAAGGAAGACAGTTGCTTTTGACTTTTCTCACCATGGTCAAGCGTTGGTCACGCTCTACGTCCAATTTTTATGCTCTGATTGGTCAAAATTTGACAGGTGAGTTCACGGGGAAAATTTATGCAGCATCTTGAAGCTTGTTTACTTTGACAGCTGAAGCTGACAGAGTTTTGTGTCAACTTGTGATGTTTTTAACTGTCTTTTTCCACTGGATGTGCAAAATGAAATTCAGCTGCTGTCAGGAGTCCTCTAGTGTTATTCATGGCTAGTTTGTTTATTGGGTTTATGGTTGAGGAATACGTCGCTTGTCAAAGTCGGAAATCCGATTTCGGATGGCATCGTTTTCGTTTTCACCTTGCTTGATGCGTAAGAGGATTGCAAAGTCTGAAGCGATACTGGCTTTTCTTGATACCTTTCAGGAGCTGCATCTCGAATGGAGAAAGAGAAATTATTGTATTTGATGTTTGTTTTTTTGGATCTAATTTAATGAAGTCGAGCGGAGTTTATGCGGTCATTTAGTTTATGCACGTTTGTAAGATTTGAGGCAATGATCTGACCGAGTATCAGGTTTGATATAAACTTACAGAACTTTAAAAAGCCTTTAGACAGTTTCTCACCGCAAATAGAAAGAAAACGTTCCAAAGAATATTTAGTTATAATTCTGGCCGGAAAAGAAAGCTTTGAGCGATTTTCTTGCCTCGAGTTCGTCTTTGAAAAAAGCAAACACCGGGAAGCCGGCTTAAAACATAAACTTAAGCTTGAAGCTTGAAGACTCAGGATTTTTAGGGACACTTTAATATATACTTGACTTCCTGAATGAAAATTGTTGTTTCTGTATATGTTTCACCGAATTATGTTTCTTTTATTGATTGTTAGTAGTCTCTCTTGTAATTTTAATCGCTGTGCCGACATCGCTTGCAGGAGTACTCAAAATGCCGCGCGTTAATAAACCATTAAATAAAAAATAAGCAGAATAAATTCTTTATAATGTTGGAGCGTAACTCTGTTAATGTTCATTCAAACACTCGCCACAGCTCGCACTACAAAAGTGATGAACCGGATGGCCGTATAGGTGATTTTGGAAATTTTTTTAACAGTTTATGAATATTGAATGAGTGCAATTTGTATTGTGAAATACTGCTTTCTGTCCGAGGTCTGCCGGTATGATAAAAACAGTGCCTCATACTACTGTTTCACCTCAGATGTGATGTATGAAAGGTATAAAAGGTTGGTTTACACGCACCCAGATTTGTTGACAAGATTTTGCAAAGTAAACTTGTCGAACGCAAAAAACTTGGCCTGATTTTTTTTCCCACTAATTAATCTACGGTGATCAAGAGCCATTATGGCTCTTAAATCTGATCGAAGATGATTACCAGTTTTTGGGTGTACATATGAGGCTATCAACTCGATGTAAGATTTGGTTCACTCTTGGGCTGTTTGCAAATTATTTTTCTCTAAAATCAGGTAGCCCTTCCCTCAAAAGTCACATAAATGTGCCCTAAAGTTAACTGAATTGTGGAATTCGAATACAAGTTTATTGTTTAATTTAAATTATAAATTTATTAATGGGAGCCTCGCTTTTAGCCCTGGCTAAATCTATATATTACCCCAGCCTGCGTTTTACTCTTAGTCTACAGTCTGCATTCTACACACAGTCTGCATTTTACCACTGGTCCGCAGTCTGCGTTTTACACTGACCGATTCCGAAAATAAGCCCCGGGGCTTATATTTTTCAAAAGCCCTTTGTGAGGGGCTTATTTTTGGAGGGGCTAATATTCGGAGGGGCCTTTCTACGGAGGGAAATTTGCGTTTCAAAATCGATTGGGCTAGCCTTATAGTTGAAAGTAAATTTATCGTTTTTGCTTTGTTTTACTTTGTATTTGAGGGTAGTTTTCCAAGTACAAGCCCCCGGTGGGCTTATATTTGGAGGGGCGATTTAACGGAGGGTTTTTTGCGTTACCGGTTTGGGGGGCTTATATTTGGAGGGGCTTATTTTCGGAATCTTACGGTATATACAAAAACCTTTTCTCAAACATTTGTCACACAATTAGAATCGAGAATTTTGACCATCAAAATTAGAGTGATTTTTTTTGTTTAAGAACCTATTTTTCTTTGCCAGGCTGAACAGGTTCTTATGTTTTTGGGTATTTAAATGCCAAATTTCAGCCTGTAGGTTCTTAAATCATTAAGTTCTTATATGCTGGTTTTTACAGCTGTAGTCTATTTGCATGTATTTGGCCCGAACCCGACTACAATCGTCTCCAAATTCATGTCCAACTGGCTAATTTACATATTAAACATTGGGTGTATGTAAATGGAGGAACCTGCCCGGAACCGCCCGGAACCAACCGGAACCCCCCGGAACCCCCCGGAACCTACCCGGAACCTTGAAAAAAGCGCAAATGATAAAATTAAAAAAAAACAAATAACAAAAAATAATACAAATCAAATAGAAATAATGAAAATGAAATAAATATACTAAATATAGGTAGCTTCCACCTTAAAAATAGTCTGAAAGCTACAATTTTTATTATTTTGTTTCGTTTTAATTATTTTAATTTCATTTGTATTATTTTTATTGTTTATTTGGTTCCCGTCCTCTTGTTAAATCAGCCTAATACGGCAGGGCAGAAAAACCGCTGATTGGTTGCCGTTTTCGCGGCAGTTTGTGCTCTCCGCTGACCATCTTACAACGAATCAAGTAGTCTACAAAAAAGAGCAAAGTTTGAAGCCAAATACATAGTTAACCATGACTAGTTCGGTGATTATGATCTGATATTCCCAAACTAGAACTCATTGACAGGCGATGTCAAGAGTTGTAGCGAAATCAGATTAGGAATACACTTTAGGGTGCTTGCTGAAAATGCGCGGGACAGTGTGTAGTTCATAGAGACATTATACGACCAATAGCTCTTAAACAATTTGCAAAAATAAGAAACAGGTGGAGTATTTAAGGTTCACAATTCGACCAACCAAAAGGCTAAAAGCCAAGAAGCAAAATAAGAAATACGTAAAAAAATCGAACAGTACGTTTTTCTGTGGCTTGCTGTTTTTTGTTTTTGCATCCCCCTCGCGGTGACAACACTCGAACGTAATCGCCGGTGAGAAGCTTCGACAAATGTACAGCCAATCTTACCTCTAAAAGGATCGATCCTCTTGCACTTAGAAGGTAGATAGCAGCGCAAAAATATATTTCCTTGGACAAGTAAAAAAAGGAAAAGATTTGTAAACATCAAACTCTTCGCCAACGGCTTGTGTCCACTTACTGACTGGTAGGCGCCAGCTTCCCGGCCTCATGCTTTGCGCGGGAAATTATGAATGAAACAAGCTTCAAAAATGTCCAAAAATAGTTACCGACCGCTTCACTGTCAAGTTCCGGTCTTTTTGCGTGCGTTTCCGGCGGAAAGAACGTCCAAAGTTGATTAAATAATGGAAAATGTTTGTGAACGTGGCTCCAGATTAAGAAGCGTGTCAGAAAAGTGTTGGGGTGCCACTAATTACTATTCGGGAAAAGAGGCTGTTTTACGTGGCTACTCTAGGCCGGTTTGGCTATGTTTTGGTCATGCAAAAAAATTGCAAGTGGAAAGTCAAAGGAGGTGCTGTTTTCCGAGTGAAAATGCCTGCACGCAAAGGAACAATTTACTGCCATGTCCGCAGAGGATTCTCACCGTGGCAACAAACCTTGAAAACTACCAAGGAGGCGCATTTCTTTGCCCAGGCCACCTAAATCTCGTGGACAAAGCTCCCATATTTACCAACCACGCCCTCTACAAACCCCCTACTACGAGAAAGGTATGTTTCTTTTACACTCAAACAACAGTCAAAATGTACTGAAACAGATCATACATTCTTAGTTTTGTTTTAGAAAATATTCATATTTTGCATTAAATTTTGCCCTATACATTTGTAGACAAAATGTACTACTTCAGTCCTATGTACTACCCCAGAAAAGAAAACAACTTGGAGGGATGGAACCTCTCAGACCGCCCCTTTGCAGAGTGTTAATGAGCTAGCAGAGGCAAAACAATTAATCACCAAATTACAGCGCGAAAATGCAGTAGTAAAAGAAAGATGCAACAAGCTAGAAGGTATTGTATTGACGTACTCTTAATTTCCACACATTCAAAACAAAGATGACTAGTTTCAACCTTTAATAGAAATATTTTTTTATTAATTTTCAGAGCCAACATTTGATGAGCAGTTCAAAACGTTCCACAAGTGTCTCACTAAACATTACAAGGATGGAGGGCAGCGGCTATACGACCCTGCAGACATGGAAAAATTTGCCAACAAGTGCACCCCTGGATTGTTCGACCGTGCCTTGTGTCTAGTCAAGAATGATGAAAAACAACAGCTTTCTAAGAAAAGACATGAAATACTGAGACTGCGAGTTGTGGCACTGCTTCATCAGCTGTCTTACTTTAGAAACCAAGTGTGTATAATAATAATAAAAAATAAAATATATAATAATACTAATAATGATAATGGTAATGATAATGATAATAATAATAATAGTAATAATAATAATAATAATAATAATAATAATAATAATAGCAGGAACCATACTTTAGGAAGACACTTAAATTAAATTAAACACCATGGTGTGTAATAGACATAGGTGTTGCTTGTTTGTTTTCAACAGAAAAACAATCCCTTACAACAAGACTGTGGGTTACACTTGTCCTTTCATGGTGCCAGTGATGACGCTTTGACAGCTGGCTCACTTCTGGGGTTTAGCACTCACCCGAGAAGTGTGCTAAATCATAAAAAAGGATTGTCTGGAAAAAGCATTCACAAGACACAAGCCATCGTTGAGAGTGCCATAAAGGTACATGTATTTACATACTGAAACAATTCATTATTAAACATCTGCCACTGCACAACACCCTGGCCAAAACAATAAGTTGACACAAGGTGAGGTGGCTGGATGTGAAGAAGCAGGGGCTAAATAGAAGGCACAAGGACCTTGTGACAAGGAGACAAAAACAACAAAAATAGAGTGATTTTATTTGAACCGTGAAACAGATAGTAACAAACAGTGCAAAATAGCAAGAGGTAAACAACAGAAGACAATGGAATTAATACATAATAGTGCGTAGTATTCTAAAAAGCTGTTTCACGGTTTAAGTAAAATGACTCTAATTTATCAGTCCATAGATGTACACTGATCCAGTTAAAAATTTCCTCCCCAACAGAGTTTCTTCTTGACTTGTTCATCTCTGTGAGGCAAAACCTTGGAAACTCTGCAAAAATACCCAGAGGACAAAGGAAATATCAGGTAGAATCCAATATCGCTGTAACAACCCATTCCATAACAAAACAAAGCATTTCCTATACAAGATATACCTGAAACAAACCTTTATCTTTTTCCAATGTAGCCTTATTATCTACCCTCTCTTGATGCAACCGTGGACCAAAGAAGCTTCCCCTTAGGGTATGCCTGGAAGGGTCAAGAACCAGACCCACTGTTGGCTTGTGATGCAGCAGATTGCAGAGCAGATGACAATCTCCTACTTGCAGTTCAGCGCTTCAACTGTGGCCACACATTTCACAAAAGTTGTCTTGGTAGTTACTCAAACTGTAACGATCATAACTACTCAATACTGTGTGGTGTCAAGTGCTCCATTTGCTCTGAGCAACTTCCTTTAAGAATCCAAGAACTTGCAGACAGTTTCAACAAAGGTTTACTGGCAGGAAATGATGAAACTGACGGAAGCAATGATAATCATGATGACGACGACGATGATGATGGAAGTGGCAACTCAGATGATGATGACAGTGATGATGATGATAGCAAACCTGATACACTAGCAAATAAGATACTCATTAAAGCAAAACAATCCTTTTGCATCTTCCACAAAGTGCTTTATTTAAGTACAGCAAACAAAAATTCCAAGAATGTAAACTCCACCGACTCTACTGGAGAAGCAGTAATTGTTAATACTAGTATGGTGTGTGTCACATGTGGCAGGGTCTGTAAGAGCAAAGGGGCTTGACTCAGCATCAGAACACCCACAAAGGGGTAAATAGTTAAGTGTTTCCCTGAAATGAGAATAACAAAACAATAATCATTTCCTTTTTAGAAGCAAATCCAAACAAATAATACAAGCCCTTTGTTTCATGTAAAATACCTTGAATAGGAATAGGCATGATAACACAGGAGAGAAACCTTGAACAATGCCTTTGTTGTTGCCTTTGTCTTGCTATAGGTATCTCAAAATAATGCAACTAGCTAGATAACAAATAAGTGATCTTGTGCTTGTGCTTGCATTTGGAATTTGGTCCATACAATATTATATGAGATCTTTGCATTATAGAAGATTAACTCAGCCCAAGTACTATGCCAGTGAGAAAAATATAGTGATAGTCCTGTCGAGAATACTAATAAGGGACAATGTGATGTACAGGAGTAAGATAGTGTCTTCAAAATATTCGATGTTATTTTGAACATGTAAATATAATAAGATTTTCACTTCAAAATACCACATTGTATATGGGCAAGGATTGTGTATAACTCTGCTAATTCTGGATACATGTAAGCTTAAAAATTCATCCTTAAAATTTCACCTTTCTTAAAACAACCTAATTTTGTACAGTAAAATCATTCCAAATCTAAATCAGTCCAAAAACAAAGTTATTAACTGTATAAATCAGTTGGTATAAATTGATCTAAAGAAATTACAAATTGGACAACGCGTACAAAAAAATAATTTCGCTTCTAGCGGAACAATGTAAACAATTCACACCAAGGAATTCATTGAACAGTGTGGATATATATAACCTAGAATCAAAAGCCCATTAAACTTGTAACTCAGGGTGCTATGAAGTGCTATTTTGTTTGAAAGTTTGGTTACTTTTAGCAATGGCTTCGCCAACTGTTAGGTGCCGCATTATACGCCTGCACGCAGCGCACGCTGCACCGCCGCAATCTCGTGGAGGATAAATAGCATTCAATGCAAATTTCGGTTAACTCATTAACTCTGAAAACGTTCACTATGTCAAAGACGAAAAATGTCTTACCTTTAAACTCAGTTGTGTAACTATCGGATCACCGAGACTTGTTGCAGGAAAACCAAACAATCGCGTAGAAGAAAGTTGATCGAAAAAAGCACATGGTTTGCTTGGCACGACTCCGTCCGTTTAACGTAATACAATCACAAAGATTACCTCCAAGGCGAAGCAAAACAAAATGATACCATTATATACAAGACCTTTCAGTGATGTATTTCAACACAGTGCTCTTCAAATTTCCGCCAAATGTCTCACATTCATGATCGCTCGATTGTAGCTCCTTCGGATCGCTCATTCTTTTGAACCAACAGCATCTGCATGTCATAACGAAGTAATCGAAATCCTTTCCTCGCCGGAAAGAAGTCCGGAAAAGAAAAGGTAAGCGCAGGTTCACTTTTCGTGGAGGCATAGCGGGCTCCATTAAAGAAACAACCCGTGCTAAACGAAGTCACTAAGGGATGCACCATTAGAAATGTGAAGGGGGGGGTAGGACTTTCTGGAAAGGCATGTTATTTTTTTCACAACCAGCAGGAGTGCAGGATTTTTTTTTCAACCTTCAAACCCTTGCACGATTTTTTTTTTCCAAAATGACTATGCCCTCTTTTGGTCTTGTTTTACTAGACTGTTTCAACCGCGCAAATGTTTTTTGTTGTAGTGTTCCAACAGAACACGTTTGTTTTAAGTATATTTTTTTCATACTAATTGAGATTTTCTATTGAAATTTGGCGTGTGAAAACCCTGTTCAGGGTTCGCAGCCAATCAGAATGGCGAAACGACTTTCACACACGTGAAAAAAAGCGTTTCGTCCAGTCACAGATGTTTAGTACATAATGTAATAGGACACCTAAACACGTGCAGTGTTAGACATGGACTTTTTTTTCGCATTGTATGTCAGATAAATCTCTCTCGCTTTCTGGATCTCACTCGCAAAGCCTTGCTCGTTCAATTTCTGATGCGAACCAACTCGTGCGTAAATACCGTACGCCCGCGCTGCCCATGAAGTAATCTATACGTTCAAACGTCCGAACTGAGTTCAGTGGCAGTTGAAACAGCTACACAAGCAGATCAAACGGTGTTTTACCCAAAGTAAACAAAAATTCCAACCAACCAAAAAGAGTTAATACAAATAGAACATAGCCTTTAAAATAGTAATTTGTGAAATGTATGTTGTGTCCTCGCTTTGAATGAGAAGTTTGTACATTTCTAGGAAATAATAGTTGAACAGTCCCCTTTTATTGTACATGTACATTTTCCGTTCCAAGTCTCTGCACATGAAAAACTTGAACATTGATATTTGGTGGAGCAAATGTTTAATATACCGTACACAATGCTTCAAACAAGCTCTGAGGCAGGAGAGGGGGAAGGGTGCACAGAGGCTACGTATACATGTATATGTACGTGTACATATGTTTAGGTTCAAGTTTTTATTAGAATGCACCATTTCTATTTATGGTTTTGCAAAGCATTCAAAATATTTTGTGTTAGTTTGGGTAAATAATATTCTTAATACTTTTAAATGCAGCGGGATCTGCAGTGTGATTGGTGTTTTTGGGACATCTACTTTTGTTTATAGCTGTAAACTTTATGGATTCAAGTAGCAACGCATATTGTACAACACCAACTCCATAAACTTGCGTGCAAGTGGAACTATTGACGTTGTTAACACAATCTCACTTTAATCCCATTAAAACAAAAGTATTTCAATAAAAAAGTTTATTTAATTTATAAAGTTAAACAATTATCACCACAGTCTCTTAATTTAATACTATGGCAGCTATAGAGATCAAGGGCATCAGAGTTGGTTCAAATTGAAATCTCTATTTAGCCAGTAGAAATTGTTTTTTCTGCCTGAAATGTAGTTTGACATGAATTTAGGAAGTTGGGGGAAGGGGATTTCCTGTTACAGATCACAGATTTATTTTTCAGACTGTGTAATATATTGTCGCAGTCACATTGGTTATCCAAGCAGGATATTTTTTTCTGGTTTCGTTGCAATGCAGGATTTTTTTTTCTTAAAATTTTGTTTTGCAGGATTTTTTTTTTTGTTTTTGGACTCCCCCCCCCTTCACATTTCTAATGGTGCATCCCTAACTATTATATGCTGAGTTAAATTTCAACGTGGACCAAGTATATTTTTGTCAATGACATCACTCAAACCAGTTGCTTCTTCTTCAATGTAAGACGTTATTTGAAACAAAAAATCGCACATTAAAATGTTTAAAACGGCACTATTCGACTGTGCAATCAATGAAAAATGTTGTAGTGTTGACGGAATTTTGCGCAAGGCATTTAATGCTTCTTTAGTCAAATGTACATCACTGGTACATGCACCGATTCAGGTAAGAAATTTATCTAAATAACCTTTCAACGCAATTTTACACTAACGTAATATTTTCAGATGAAAGTCGGAAAAATCTGTGTTTACATTGGGCGAAAAGACGCTACTTTCATAAACGATCTTCTGCGTGAAATCCAGAGTGTGTGGTGAAACATCGAATTAGATTATATATACCCTGCGAGCACAGGTTTCGAAGTCATTCGTGTCGCCTGATTTTTTTTCCCACTAATTAATCTACGGTGATCAAGAGCCATTATGGCTCTTAAATCTGATCGAAGATGATTACCAGTTTTTGGGTGTACATATGAGGCTATCAACTCGATGTAAGATTTGGTTCACTCTTGGGCTGTTTGCAAATTATTTTTCTCTAAAATCAGATAGCCCTTCCCTAAAAAGTCACATAAATTTAAATGTGCCCTAAAGTTAACTGAATTGTGGAATTCGAATACAAGTTTATTGTTTAATTTAAATTATAAATTTATTAATGGGAGCCTCGCTTTTAGCCCTGGCTAAATCTATATATTACCCCAGCCTGCGTTTTACTCTTAGTCTACAGTCTGCATTCTACACACAGTCTGCATTTTACCACTGGTCCGCAGTCTGCGTTTTACACTGACCGATTCCGAAAATAAGCCCCGGGGCTTATATTTTTCAAAAGCCCTTTGTGAGGGGCTTATTTTTGGAGGGGCTAATATTCGGAGGGGCTTTTCTACGGAGGGAAATTTGCGTTTCAAAATCGATTGGGCTAGCACTATTCGACTGTGCAATCAATGAAAAATGTTGTAGTGTTGACGGAATTTTGCGCAAGGCATTTAATGCTTCTTTAGTCAAATGTACATCACTGGTACATGCACTGATTCAGGTAAGAAATTTATCTAAATAACCTTTCAACGCAATTTTACACTAACGTAATATTTTCAGATGAAAGTCGGAAAAATCTGTGTTTACATTGGGCGAAAAGACGCTACTTTCATAAAGGATCTTCTGCGTGAAATCCAGAGTGTGTGGTGAAACATCGAATTAGATTATATATACCCTGCGAGCACAGGTTTCGAAGTCATTCGTGTGGCTTGTCTGTCGCGTAGTTGGTTTCTTTACGCCGCGTGGAAACCTCTGCGGAAAACCGCACGTGATTTGTTGTTACATTTGTTAGAAGACATGCAAGAGAGAAATCTCTGATCGCAGGGTACTAAGAAACCTTTAACAGTCCAAATCTAACCGCCCAGACAATATAATTAAAATGAAGGGTCATCTCACTGAATATTAAGGTGATTACTGCCGGGCATCAGCCGGCAGCAGACCATATTCTTGAGCGATTTGAGATTTTTGGTCAATGGTTCGATGGTTCAATCAATCTAATATATAGATTTAGCCAGGACTAAAAGCGAAGCTCCAATTAATGAATTATAATGTAAATCAAACAATAAACTTGTAATCCACAAATCAGTTAACTTAAGAGCACATTCATGTGACTTTTGAGGGAAAGGCTAAGTTATTTTTGAGTGAAGTTGATAGCCTTATATGTACACCCAAAAAATAGAAAACATCTTCGATCACATTCAAGATCACAGTAGATTAGGCCTCGAAAACAAATTCTTGGAAAACTAATCAGGCCGAATTTTTTTGCGTTCGACAGGTGTTCTTTACAAATTCTTGCCAACAAATCTGGGAGTGTGTAAACCAACGTTTTATATTTTTTATCATACAGACCTCGGACAGAATACGGTATTTCACAATTTTTCAAGACAAATTGCACTCAGGGCTTTTAGCGAAACCCTTCAAAAAATTTTCAAAATCACCCATACGGCCCGCCGGTTCTCATCTCTATAGTGCGAGCTGTCAGGAGTACTAAAAAATGTCACGCGTATCAAACTCTTTATAAGATTACTTTATACATGTGTAAGGGCTCTTGTCACTCGGCGAGAGCTGAGACATAACCACACGAGCTTTTTCTATTTGCGGTGAGAAAATATATCTTAAGGCTTTTTAAAGTTCTGTAAGCTTATATCAAACCTGATACTAGGCCAGATCATCGACTCAAATCCTACAAGAGGGTGTGAATGGGGTTAACCGACTAGCGACAAAGGGCGACTACCGACAAAACGAGTGAAAAATTACCGACTACCGACAGGAAAAATATTAACCAACTACCGATATGGGCTGACATTATCAAGTTGTTTTCAGAGAAAAGAGCATTTTGCATTTTTTTCTGGCCGTTAGGAAGTAACCTCTTTAAATTTATGACTCATCAGATGGTCTAACAGAAAGAACTTCCTCTTTTGTTGATACAGGTAGATTACTACAACCAATACCATAATTACAGAAGCCACACCTTAAAGATGCTACCAACTTTATAAATTTTATTGAAAAGACAAAGGTGAAAAAACTGAACGTTTCCTGTTTCGGTGCGAGAAATGCTTAGATTAATCCTCAAAGAAAATTCTTTCCAGTTTAATGGAAAGCACTATCAGTAAAAACACACGATACCGCGGTGAGCACAAACAGCTTCCTGTCCAAATTTTCATGGCCACATACATTGAAACACAAAGTTAAAGCAAAACCGTCTTCAGACCAACTGTTTGAAAACTCTACATAAATGACATTTTTTCCCTTTGGGACAAAAGTAAACCAGACATCGTAGATTTCTTCAAATTCACGGAACGAGTAAACTTACACATCACCCTACTATGAAATTCACGGCCAAAATATCTGACACTGACACAATCTTTTTAGATACGGTTGTATACCAAGGCACAACATTCAACGAAAAGTGAGAAAAAGCTATCATTGACGCAAAGACGCATTTTAAACGGAAACCTTCCAGTATATACATTTTCACCTCTTATCACCCACCAATTGTTAAAATGGACTTGACAAACAAGAAGCCTTGAGAATCCACGAACAAACTCCTCTGAGGAAGTATTTCAGATTTCAAAAAGCGGTTGATGGACAGAGGTTGGCCACACAATTTTGAAAGAAAAATTTCTATTAGAAGTAACACTCACAGAAGGAAAGCAGCGCTCCTGAAACAAAACAACAAGGAAGAAAAAGAAATATCTCATTGTCTTCAGCCCCGGAGCAAATAGGCCAGATCTGGCCTACTTCGTAAGAAAATTCGCAAAAAATTGCGTTACTTCCGATTGCTCCCAAATTTGGCACAGAGGAAGTTAATAGATTTAGCCAATCACCTGCCTAGTTCCAGCCCCTGTGGACTTTTGACCGTGACACACGGAGCTTTCGAAAATTTTGAATTTTATGGCGAGTCGTGGGGAATTTTTGTGAGCCGGTTTTGCGAAGAGTGGAAGCTTGTATCGACGAATGTCAACCAAATACAAGTCAAGCAAACTATTCTGAAGGATTTTAGAGGATAACAAGCAAAATAAACGCGAAAATTGAGGTAAGGAAACACTTAGAATCTGTGCATGCAAATCGCCGATCGCCGAACTCAGTGCCACATGTTCTTGAAACGGCGACGATTCCTTCCCGTTTTGCCTTCGCTTCGCTTTTCGCCGTCAAATTCTTGCTTATTTTGATGAATTATATCAGCAAATTCATGTCTGCTTGTCTGTAACTCGATATTTTTTTGGGAATGAAGGAAACAAAGCGTCTCAGTAAAGTAAACACGGGGTCACGAGGTGACGCCAAAGGATTATGCTAATTATGATAATCTAATTAGCATAATCATGACAGCGTGAAGAAAAAAATTTGTGGAAAATTTGTAGTCGCTCCATATTTTAGAACGATTTTCGGGTTTTTTTGCTTAGATATTGATGAAAAAAATTTGTTACTACCATATCACCCAAAATAAAGAAGTTTCCTAGCTAAATGACAGTCTTTAAAAATTTTAAAAAATTTTTATGCAAAACATGCTTTTTAATTTTTTTGTGGCGGAATATTATGGGTTTCCTACGACCGAAATATTTTTTTTTCGAAAGGGTATTCTTTTCCCTTTCCAATGAGGTATAGCTTGATATTGAACTGTAAATAACACCAGAGATATGATTTTTTAAAGTTACATGGCAAAATACATTAAAATAATTGGCTGAAGACAAGGAAGCCCTTAGTGTCTATTATAAAAGAAGCTTTAATGAAAAAGTGTAATCACATACAAAACCAGCCACTACCTTGCCTTTGAAAGAACCACTGTACTTAACCCTCGGACGTACACGCAAAATGATAGCCCCGCCATGGTACAAGAAGGGGGGGGGGGGGTACATGGAACCCCCCCCCAGAGTTTTTGATATGTTGCAGTATTTCGAAACGATTTTTCCTTCACTGGAAAGCCTTTGATCTTCTTAACAAGATGAGGTATATTTTATTAATGGTGGCACTGCTGTAGGCGTGTGACGTCATCAACAATGGTCGCCATCTTGAATTTTACCAGAAACGGTAATTGCTTGACATGAATAATAACACATAAATAAGCGCTTAGCATTATTTCAGCCACAAGATTTACTTTTATTGTTGAAAAAAGTTGAAAAAAAACACATTTTGACTCAAAATGGCTTGACCACCTGCTACTTATTACGTCATACCTCGTAACCATAGAAACTGATTATCACTGAACTTGTCTCAAAATGCGTGCGAGGGATAAACGAACAGTTACTGAAAACGTCAGGTGCTGATGTTTTATCCTCTTGGAAAAATCCCAGAAAAACCCAAGGGGGGTGGCATCCACCCCTCCTCCCCCCCACCCCTTGTACGTCCGAGGGTTAAAGTGTTATTTCTCTGAGAAAGGAAAATTATGGCAAGGAACCTGCTTGTTAGAGCCAAAACATTAAAGGTATAGATGTGCAGCCTGTCACCCCATGCAGTTTTTTAGTAAGAATAATTTAAGTATTCAAAAGGCTGGAGTCCATCAATCAAGTAATTACTTTTTACTGTGCCCAGTAGTCGACAAGGAAACCAAGTTCGCATTTACAATAAAAGCTTTGGTAATTTTATCAGTACTCATGATATTCATTTGGCAAACAATGGTGAAATAAACGATCATGTTGCATAAACAAATAAGAGTTAATGAAGTTTAAGTGCAATCAAATGATGCATTCTTACAAGTTTTACTCTTCCCTTAGGGATCAAAGTCTTGAAACTGGGTGAAATACATAAAAAATCTTAATAATTAACAAGCGCTTTTACTTATTAAATGAGATTTTCTGACAACCGACAAAAATCAAAAAGTTTAACCGACTACCGACAAAGATCGAAAATTTTAAACGACTACCGACAAAGTAACTGAATTTTAACCGACAACCGACAAGTGGACCCCCCCATTCAGACCCTCCTACAAACGTGCGTAAACTTGCCGCATAAACTGTGGTCGACTTCACGAACAAAAACAAACATCAAATACAATAATTACTCAGGCTTACCATTCGAGATTTAGTTCCTGAAAGGTATCAAGTGAGGCCAGTATCGCTTCAGACTTTGCAACCCTCTTACCCAGAGTTTGCCTTTTGGTCGAGGGTCGAGCGTGGAGGGTAACTAGTCGAGGGTCGAGGGTAAATGGTCGAGGGTCGAGGTTAACTTGTCGAGGGTAAATGGTCGAGGGTCGAAAAATCCTCCACAATTATTTTTGAACGTCGTCAAATCAAAATTTCGTGTTTACTCGAGTTTCCGGTGCCTGTTTTATTTTTACGTTAACACCTAGGGGCACGTGTATCATTTGTCGTTGTAACACTCGAGTAAATAATACTGAATATTGAAAGCAGAGACCCAATGGTTTTCTTGTCTAACGTTTCACTAGCCTGCGTGCAGACGATAACTAAACTCTGATTAGTACCGTCTGCGAAGCAGCGCAGAGATCCTTGTTCTGGACCCCCAACGGACTCAACGAATTACCGGAAGTGCGTTTCGAATTCCCCTTCAACCTGATTGGCGATCACGACAAGCAAAACAAAGGCCTTTTTAACTGGCCAATCGTGGCGCGTACTCAAATCTGGGTACACAGCTGGAAGTCCAGAACAAGGATTTCGGCGCTGTTTCGCAGACGGAGTTAACCAGAGTTTAATTTCGTCTGCGCGCAGGCTAACGTTTCACTCGCTGATGAAAAGGCTGCTAATCTGGTAACTTTCACTGTTTGTATTTAATATTTCCCACGTCCACTAGTTTTGTCCTATGTGAGACTTGGGTCAGCGTGATTATTTTACTGCCTGTAAGACAAAAACATGGAAAACTCAACGATAACAACGTAATAAACACAACTTGTCAAATGCCGCATTCACAGACTTCACAGGCTGGCAAACAACTATAGCAAATACTAACAAGAAATTCACACCATCGGTTTAAAACCTCTTGAAATTCCGAAATGAAAGCGAAGTACGGAGGAGTAAAGGAAGAGATCGAAACAATGGTACTTTTAAGGGGTATATATCCCAGACCCACTACATTTTCGATTGCTCCGGAAAACGAAACTTGAAACTGCAAATATCACGCAACTGAATAAGCATGACAATAAGCTTTATCGACTCAGTTAGAAAGTTAATTAGTTACTCCTAATATGTAGTTCCAGAGAAATAAAGCTTAAGCTGAAGTGTTGTACACTTTTTTTTTTTTTTTTTATAAGAATGTTGTTTTTCCGGCCCAGGCTGAATATTCTTATTTTTCTGCCGATTTTAGGCTGAAAATATTCTTGTATTATTCTTAAATTATAGCTTATGACATTTCCGTTTTAGAATTTATTGGGGTATATGTATATATATTACATGTACCGTTCATCGAACTGTCATTAGCGTTGGACATTTTGCTATAGCTAGTGCAGGGTTTTTCGTTTTGTTGGCTAGTTTCGCCGTTCAGAGAAAGGAAAAATTTTATACGGTTAAGTTAAAAGCATAAAATTGTATTGTATTTACAGATGTTTCAACACACAAAATTATATCTATCCTTTTCAAAATCTCAGCGTTGGCTTTTTTCTTAAAATATTCTTAAAATATTGCAAATTTCAGCCTCGATGTTCTTATACAGTATATTCTTATAAAAAAAAAAAGAGTGTATCGCCAAACATTTTAACAAACCTCGGTACATGAATCTTAAATGTCTTATAGTTAAAGAAAATTAGAGCTGAGATCCTGCTTCAAAGTTCTCAGTCAACAGTTTAATGGTATTATGGTATTTATTTAACTTCCTGTCACGCTTCTTTCCTTTGGTTGCTTTATTTGGGAATTTTAGGTTTTAAATTGAAAAAAAAATTCAGAAATAATTGTGGAGGATTTTTCGACCCTCGTCCATTTACCCTCGACCCTCGACTAGTTACGAGTTTGACTAATAGTCGCGGGTCGCGGGTCGCGGGTCGCGGGTCGCGGGTCCAATGTCGCGGTCGCGGGTCCAAAGTCGCGGTCGCGGGTCCAATGTCGCGGTCGCGGGTCCAAAGTCGCGGTCGCGGGTCCAAAGTCGCGGTCGCGGGTCCAATGTCGCGGCAGAGGAAAATGATTTGGGGTTCGAGGTAACAGCTGAGTGAAAACCACTGATATGAACACAATATAAAGGGAAAAAATCTTTTTTATGCACAATACTCTACGGTAGCCAATTTACAGGTTACGGATGTTAGAGTCAACAAAATAATGTCTCAAGAAAAGACCTAAAAGAAAAAGCTGGCCGACTTTTGTGTTCAGCGCAAGTTTATTTTGTTTTCTTTCTGTCGGGCCCAGTTATGTGTAAATTCAGCTTTGAATATACTTATGTATAACAGTATCTGATAAAAAAAAGGTTACCATAAGTTACCATTGCTTTCTTCTTGTCGATGAATTGCTCACAAATGCTTAAGGGTTCAATTACTGAAAAATATGCGATACACTTCATAGCCTACAGATTATAAACGTTACAACAACTTAAAGCCTTTTTTTAAAAAAAGCGAACTCGGGCTCAAAAAGCTACGAGTCTGTCGGTAGAAGAAACGAGAACTCTTATATTTAACAAATGTTTTCGGCAAAACTGAAAGAAAATGTAAATGGGCGCATGAAACTTCATTCAAGCGGTATTTAAGGCATAAATTTAATATGGAAACAAGTAATAATCCACAGAAAGGAGTCTGTTCCTCGAAGCAAGATTTTCGCTTAATGCTTTTATTTTTACAACTTAGACGGCAACCCAGAGTGTTCAATATAACTTCTTGTTCTCTTCACCTAAATGGCAACCAGGACAACCTGACAATATATAGGAAGCCATTCAATGTGCGTCTCAGTGAAATCTTGAAAACATGCATCGTAAATAACTAAGTGAGTAAGTAGGTAAGGAAATAATAACGCCCGATATCATGAAGCTGAAAAAGAAAGTAAACCGGACACTGAAAACGGTAAGTTATCAACTCCACCAGAGCTAAGAAAAGACAATAAATTAGGTAAGTAATTCCAGATTCCAGGTACTGGATTCAAGTCTTTGTCAGTAGAACCAAGAGACTATGATCTATTCTCTCTTGGTAGAACTTGGATTCCGGATTGCAATCGTTATTGGGAACAAACTCCTTTCTGTGGACAAGAGAGGATAAAACTCGAGCTTTATCCCCTCTTGCTGTGGATTATTACTTGTTTTTTATTAAAGTCATGCCTTGAATACCCGCTTGAATGTACTTTACTGGCACTTCAAGCCCAACGTCTCTCCTCCTCTTTCCAGTTACTTGTGCAAAGAGTTTATTTTGGGAGTTTGCGACTGTTACGCGGGTAATCTTTTAGAAGACGGGTAGCTTGCAAACTAAACTGAACGCAGGGTTGTCGGAACAGCAACAGGAAGATTTATTCCAAAGATGAACGTAGTTTCCACTGAGTAAAACTCCACAACAGCACGTACCTCGTTAAACTTACACTGCCTCCGCCAACTTGAATAAACACTGCCTTCGTCACACTTGACTAAACACGACCAACGTCAAACTCTCTTCGCTTGTGAAAACTAGTTAAAACTTAACTCGGGCTCGCCTACCGTACATACGTTTACAATAAGATTCTAGAACTTTCCAAATAGTCTAATTATAGAAAGATTACAAAATATACCGCTTTTAGAAACGCTTACACAAGATCCTAAAATAAACAAATTATGAACTCTCTCGAAGCTTCTAGAAAGTCACACTAGTCACGCAATACAATTTTTCGTAACAGCGACCAGGAAGTTTTTCAACAAGCGTTTTCTTTATTTTTGCCGAAAACATTTGTTAAAATTGAAACAGTTCTCGTTTCTTCTACCGACAGACTCGTAGCTTTTTGAGCCCGAGATAGCCTTTTTTAAAAAAGGTTTTAAGTTGTTTTAACGTTTATAATTTATAGTCTATGAAGTGTATCGCACATTTTTCAGTGAATGCACCCTTAAGAATTTGTAAGCAATTCATAGACAAGAAGAAAACAATGGTTACTCATGGTAACATTTTTTATCAGATACTGTTATACATAAGTATATTCAAAGCTGAATTTACACTTAACTGGGCCCGACAGAAAGAAAACAAAATAAACTTGCGGTGAACACAAAAGTCGGCCAGCTTTTTCTTTTGGGTCTTTTCTTGAGACATTATATTGTTGAATCTAACATCCGTAACCTGTAAATTGGCTATCGTAGAGTATCGTGCATAAAAAAGGTTTTTTCCCTTCATATTGTTTTCATATCAGTCGTTTTCAAATCATTTTCCCCTGCCGCGACATTGGACCCGCGACCGCGACTTTGGACCCGCAACCGCGACATTGGACCCGCGACCGCGACATTGGACCCGCGACCGCGACTTTGGACCCGCGACCGCGACTTTGGACCCGCGACCCGCGACCCGCGACTATTAGTCAAACTCACTAGTTACCCTCGACCCTCGACCATTTACCCTCGACCCTCGACTAGTTACCCTCGACCCTCGACCCTCGACCAAAAGGCAAACTCTCTTACCCATCAAGCAAGGTGAAAACGAAAACGATGCCATCCGATTTCCGACTTTGACAAGCGACGGTTTCTCAACCAAAAATCCAATAAACAAACTAACCATGAATAACAGAAGACTCTTGATAGCAGCTGAATTTCATTTTGTACATCCAGTGGAAAAAGACAGTTAATCACATCACAAGTTGACACAAAACTCTGTCAGCTTCAGCTGCCAAAGTAAACAAGTTTCAAGATGCTGCATGAATTTTCCGCATGAGCTCACCTGTCAAATCTTCCCCGCCTGTATTTTAAAAAACTGGCTGAATTTTTGTATTTGTTTTTTATGTTTACTCCTCCTATAGATAAAACATTAGTTGTACAATATTAATTAGTACAAGGTTGTTTAAACTACGTGTACGTAAGAAAAAAAAGAAAAGAAAAAAATTAGAATGGAGAAGGGCACATTATAGTAAAACTAATTATGGCCCTTTAACAAGATTGACTTTATTCTATTATAGCTTTGTTATTCATTAAAACACAAACACGCACACACGCACATACACACGTACACAAGTCAATATTGAGCAAGATAATATTTTTTAAGTGCCTTTTTGAACAGGATTTTCGATGATTTATTGCGAATAGAAAGGGGGAGATCGTTCCAATAGTAGGGACCTTAAGCAATGACGACGACGACGGCAGTGAAAACGTCGCCAAAAAAATAAATTTGCCTTCTTTCAAACTTAATCGCGTTTATTTGGACCCGCTCAATATGTCAAATGTAGGCGACTTTTCCTGGAGTTGAATTCTTAACGATTTTATTCAAGTTCAAAAAGAGGAAGGAAAATTCGTCGTCGTATGTCCACGTCCTCCATAATACTATAAATTAGGAGGTTTCACGTCGTAGTCGTGCAGTGGACGTCAAAGAAATGTACTAAAAAGCGTGATGCACGTGCAGAACTGTTGTTTTGATCATTAAAGCTATTGTTTTTTGCAGTTGTCGTCGAACGTGTTTGTCGTATAGTTGCTTAAGCTCCCTAGTATTTTCCAATGACGGTAGGGCAAAACTTTCGAATATTAATTCTTGATTGGGGAATGTGTGATAGCTGAGCAGATGCACTTGGTGTAAAATAATTATGTTGCTCAGATACAATTCATTTTATATGGCGGAAGGACATCTGTGAGCAGGGAATCAGAAGTCAGCACAAAATAGGGGCACCAATTTTCGGAAAATATCTGTTCGGAAGACGATTTGAGATCTAAAATTTTCGGAACCTTTTTTTTCCAAAATTTCTTGCTTGTCTGCCTCTCCTAGGATTTTCGAACATCTAAAAAAATGGTATAACTGCCCATTTTTAACGGATTTTTACCCTAAAAAGGTCACCTACAATTTTCGGGAGCCTTTTTCCTGGCTGAAATTTTCGAATAGGTAAGTTTTGATCCCTATAATTTTCGAATCGCTAGACTTTCAGCTAGCAAATCCGAACAGATGAAAAATTTTTAGGGGATAAAAATATGCCTATATCTACCGTTTTAATACTAAAATACGTTTAACAATGCTATGTTTAAGTGGTTTTGAACTATATTCTCGTTGGGTGCCCCTGACAGAATTTGATTGTTGGCGAATTTCTGTAATCGTCCATCGTTCTGCTAGAGAAAGCGTGTCTGGCAAGGTTTCCAATCAAAGATTTGTGAACTCGTGTCTGGCAGACTCTCCGAGTGTTTATATATACACAGTTATACGTACCTTATAACTTCATCTGCGCTTAACGAGTGTCTTTTGGTCCATAAATTTTTAAAACAACTGCTCCACAGAATGTCACTGATAACGTAACGCAAGAGTATCGAAGTATGACTGCACAATCAATGTCACAAAGATCTTTCATGATCACCATTCCAGTAGGACTGTAACCGTCGATACTGACATGTACCACGTTACTTGCAGGGGAAATTGCACAATCTGCTTGGCTGTTCTTTGATTGATTACAGGATATCAAACTATTGAGGGCGATATGATGTTCGAAAAAGCCCAAATTCGAGCAGCGGAGAATGGATTAGATCCAACTAATATGGCGAGGGCTCAAGGATTGAACCGGAGAGGACAGTGGCCCGGTGGAGTTGTCCCTTTCACCATTCATTCAAGTGCAAGTATGATATTAGTAGAGAAAAGCGAAATATACTTGGCACTTTAATTTTCCAAGAGAGGGGAAGAGTCGCTGAGGTTTATTGTTCATATCTAATTGTTTTGAGTGAAGAACCTACTACTAGGGGTACTCTTTATAAATTCCTATACAAGGGGGTCCTTTTTCAGGCTTCAGGTATATCAAAGGGTACAGACTTCGCAAGTTGACGTGTTTGAAAGACTAGGAAAATCTGTCATTTTGATATTTAAAAGGGCGTTTTGCTAAAATATTTCCAACTGACGCACCGTATTCTCCCCTGTTTTATTCCAGGGGTTTAGAAAGGGTACTCAAAAAGGACATTAATAACAGCGGTTTTGTCATTAATGTCTATATTTTTGTCTTGGATAACACAGCAGGTTTTGGCTGTCGTCATTTTCTATAAAAAAGTATTCAAAAAGGCATCGTTTTTAAATGGTAGCTTAACCACAGAGGTACCTTTTCTGTTACAAAATGGTATATTTAACAATTATTCCTCGAGCCCGAATGGGCTCTGAGTCAATAGCCTATGAGGCCGAAGGCCGAATTGAAGGCCGAATGGACTATTGACTCAGCCAGGCCATGAGGGCGAGAGGAATAATTGTTTTAGTAAAATCCAACTACTTGGTCAAAAATATCGAGGCAAAACAACTTTAGCTAGCAAAACGCGATTCAGCCGCCATTGTTTTGGTTTTCAAAGCCGGCGCTTTTCGCTATTAGTGGGCTATAACATATTGCCTAGTAGTAGCTCAACCAATCAGAACGCAGCATTGGTAATGGACAACTAGTTGGATTTTTATAAAAAAAATAAGGGATTGGATGTCTGGCTGGAGCCTCCTCGTTAAACACTTTCATCAGTATACCCGGGCGGGGGTTAGAAACTTTAGAAAATTATGTTCTTGGGCAAACGATTACTGTCGTGAATTAGATAAATGATCTCCCAGCTTTTACCTTTTGTAATTAATTTAACTTTGTACTTGATGTTTTTCTCTTTTGGTACTGCATCGTCAAACGACATCCCTATTATCGCAATACTTTCAAGATCCACCTCCTCAGTACAATTTCGACACAATAAAACTTTTGTACCTAACGGATTTTTTTTCTGTCACAAAAGAGGCCAAAATTGGGAACTTAGTTTATCACTCCATTAACTAACTTTAAACTGAAACTGAAATCATATTCTAAGCAGGGATGCATGTTAGTCATCAATGCATTAAATGAGACTGATTTCTTTACAATGTGTAATTGCTTTTTCCAGAGAACAAGGTTTTGAATGCACTTGGAATTAGAGGGCCTACGGAAAGAGCAATATATAGGGGCATGGAAAAGTGGGAGGAAAACACCTGCATCAGATTTGTGCACAGGACTACTCAAAAAGATTACGTGGAGTTTTCCTGCGGTGATGGGTAAATAATTTTGAGGAATGTTCAACAGATTGTAATTTAAACATATCTCGGATGAATAACATCATCTTCACCCGCTAGCTGGTGTAATTACATAAATTTGCAGTTAAATAAATGGCTGATTACAATGTGACAATAAATGTGTAAATACAACTAATGTTGAAAATTATTAAGACAAAATTGAATAGCACTGAATAATCTTAAATCGCACATCATAAAGAAAAGTAGAGACGTTTATTAAGATTATGAACAGCTACTGTAGACACGAGAGCAGGGCAAATTCAGTAAACTGAAATCCACTGCCTTCTCATCACTACATGTACTATATATCCTCAAACTACTCCCGCTGCTATTTGAAAAAATGTTAGTGGGAAAATCTGTTTCGATATCAACGTGTTAACGTTTCTCGGCTGGTTGGGCAGACTTAAAGGTCACCCCGTGTCAGGGAATTCAAGACAGTCTTGGATTCTGGATTCCACGCATTTGATTCCAGTCTTTTTAGTAGAACTTGGATTCTGGATTCCAATCCTTAGTAGGATTCCGGATTCCTTGAGCTGAGTATTCCGGATTCCAAAGCCCAGGATTTCGGATTCAACAAGCAACAATTTCACGGATTCCGGAATCCTGATTCCCTTACAGGGTCGATAAAGGGGCTATGTCACGCTATTTGCTATCTTTTTAACAAGCTAAAACTCGTCTTCACGTCAGTTGAATTCTAAAAATAATGGCCCGGTTTTGTTATTTAAGACTATATTTAGGAATTAAAGGCTATTTCCTGTCGTCTGTTACAACGGATGACAAGCATAGACTTGGACTGAAACTTGAGAACGTTTGGCCAACCTTTTCAAGTATTAACTGATATGTCTTTAAAAATCTCCAAAATATTTTTTATAGTTAGTGCTGCCTGATGAAATTTGTTTGCTATCACCAGTCTTCATATACTCTACTGGACCATTTTTGTATGGGTTAGTAAAGGCACTAAGTAAAGACTTCAGCACAGAACTGACCCAGAAAAGTCCTAAAACAGTAACATTCTAGTGCTCCTTTATCCCTCTTCTCTTAACCCAAAGCACAAACTTAGTTCAGTTATGGCCGTGTATGAATCGAAAGAGACTGCGTTTTGGGTCTTTCAGGAGAAGTTCTGCTATCTATTTTTACCAGTAAAAATGGGTTTATCGATTGAAAGAGATTTTTAAATCCCTCAATTTTTTGCAGCCGCTGGTCCTACGTAGGCTGTCAGAACAGTGGGAAGCAGATAGTTTCTATTGGAAAGTTTTGTTTCTTCCAAGGCATTGTTGTCCACGAGATTGGTCATACTTTAGGTACAAGTGTTTACTTTGTTGTTTACTTTTAAAGATATTTATTTTTATTTTATTTTATTTTTATTTTATTTATTCCTCCAATTCCTAGCTGATACATAGTTATGTAAATATAACTGAGAAAAATAATATAGTAACAGATAAAGATTTACAAAGGAAATAAACGCGTAAAATAGAAATTACAACACTTAAATTGAATTACATTGTATATTGGAAGGAGAGGAGATATCCCACACAGTTGATGGATAAAAATAGCGGAGATCTTCTTCCTGAACATCCTAAGTGAGACCAAAATCTGCGATTTCTTCCCAGAAAGCAAGAGGACGCGCGAGCGGATCAAATGGGAGTCCACCAACATCCGCATGTCGGATGAAACAATATATTGGAGTTAATCCTACTCGTAAAGGAAACCAATAATCAGGGCGTAACTCAAGCTCAATTTTTGTCGCTGACTGTGAGGCGCAGACGTCTCTCCAAGCGGCGAGGAGCGAGGCCAAAACGGCTGTTTTGGCAGCCGGGCTACATGCAGCGTCCATAGCAGTATCTGCATGACGGCAAATATTGTCGTTCCGTCCTCCACCCTCCCTCAACCTAAGGGCCCTAATATAATAGCTTTTTTGTTTGTAGCCTGCTAACATGACCATTTTGAAATAAGCAGGTTCGGTTCTTTTTTAAACATAAAATAGGAGGTTTACATGCAGTTCATAGTAGTAAAATCATACCACAACACGATTACCACCGATTACTTCTTTCACAGGATTCTCGCATGAACAGAGCCGTCCTGATCGAGATGATTACGTTCTTTTTCAAACATAAAATTAAGGACCGGAGGTTTACAGTTCATAGTTATGTAGTTCTACTTTAAAGTATTGAGGACATACCGGGGGAAGTGAAATCATACAACAACACAATTTTCTTCTTTCACAGGATTATTGCATGAAATGAGCCGTCCTGATAGAGATGAATACGTGGATATTGTTTGGAACAACATCAAAGAAGGTATTGATCTTTATTGAAAGACAGGAAAATAATACTGACTTTCAGTGCCTAAGGCAGTGATTCATTGTTTCGTAGTAAAAGCAATCTAACAATATTCACCCAGTTAAAAGTATGGAAAAGTAGACTTAATGTACCGCGTGGATGAATGTTTGAATTCCTGCCACTTGGAAGACATCAGTTTCGTCTGTTACGATGAACCGCTTCAGCCGCCGCTTCTGTTGGTTTCAGGCTCTGGGTGGAATGGATGACTTACCGTGAAGCATGGAGCATAAGTGCATGACTACGAAAAACTTTACATGAGTGACGAGGGTGGGCCTAGGGGGAGGGGGAGGTGACTCTATTGCTTTCCACCTTCATTTCAGTGTTGACCCACTCCGCCTGCCAGTGTGACGTCCGCATAGAAACGGGCAAGAGCCTCGGATCGCTTGTGCAAATTAACAAGGGATACGACAGCTGTTAGGACGAGCGAGGTCGAGGAAAAGCTAAGAGGCTAGCAAATATCGTCAAATATCGCGATCGCAAGTGTGTGAGCTTTGTTGTTGCTATAATCTATTTGTGTAAACCGTCCGTAATTGTATAATTTTGTTAATTTGTTTTGCGGGCCGTGTTGCGGGATCACCATCTTTTTCACTGGACCAGCAAGTTCATAAAAACTTAAGCCTTTTTCTCTAAAATAGGCAAGGTCTAATGTCCAGAATAGGAGGTTCCATTCACAGATCACACATGTTTATTTTTCATCTTTTCTTAACTTCATATCAATCCTTTCGAGTGTGCCTCTGTTGATTTCCTAATTCGCCACCAAATTCAGTAAAGCTAGTTTGATGGATTATCTACATCGATCGGCCCGTTGAACCGGAAATAATGCGAAATAGCTTTGAAACACGCGCTTAAGCTAATTTTCCTCAAATGTATATTTGAATTTATGGTAAATACAGCTCCACCAGCTTCAAAAATCGTCTATGGCCGAAAAAAATGGTTTTGATACAACCAAATTAATTTTTCAAATCGTGTGTGTGTGGCAGTTTGGTGCAATGGTCAAGCAGCTGCTTGCACCTGCAGGCGAACCGGGTTCGACTCCCGGCGACGATATTTTCTGTTTCTTCAGTTTGTATCATTTTTTTTTCTGTTTAGGCTTTGTTTTTAAGTCCTATTTTTCCTTTTGGCCTGTTTTTCTTTATTCGTAGTGCTAACCCTACTGATCATACACTTGGATCAATATATATATTAAACTTTACTCCGGAGTTATATTTTAGAAAAGGGACTAAGCTAGTACAACACAAACCTTTCTAATTTATACCCAACAACCACTGGCGAAATGAAACTTGCCTCTTGTTCATCGTCTTAATCATAACAATATTATTACCCTAAAATCTCCACTGGGTTTACCCGAAAACAATAATCAAACGAACCCTTTTATTAGTGTTCGGGATTTAATTACAGAATTATAGGTGTATGTCCAGTACAGTATTGAAATACGGCAAAGCAACAAGATTCAGTGCTCACAGTCTCTCACAAATACCCGTCATTTAGCTTCTTCTTTCAACGCTACCAGCTAAGCGAACTTTGAAAGGATTGATATGGAGTTCCACTAGCTCTGAGGAGCTGAAAATACGCCCAATTGAAAGTACTAATATATCATTTGATGAACTTCCTATTGCTGTGTCAACATTCTTTCATCTTGCTGTGCACTGGCCCTCAAAAGTGTGACCGGTCGGTCAACGATTGCCCCTAAAATTTGCTCGACGATAGAAAGAAATCTTAAAAATTCATTACACCACTGGACGTTTTAATCCCAAATCTTAAATCTTAAAATCTCCAGATCCAAGAAATCGGAACAGTATTTCCGTGATAAATTCGAAATTTTTATCCGTCTCTTCGATGAACACTTTGCTCGCCATTTTGAAAGTCAACGACTCGAGACGTGACGTCATACTGGCAGGCGGAATGAACCACCGGTTTTTTTTGGAGACACCTCCCCCGCCTTGGTTTTACCAATTAATCAATCTTTTCCCTGTGGCCTTTCTCTTGGAATCCACAAAAGAAGAGCGCTCGAGACGAGGTTGATCAATGTATCGAAAAAGGGAATATCTGCAGCTGTTTACCACTAATAATTTACAATTACCGCAAATGAATAGAACCTCCATGTAAATACATTACATTTGTCTTGTCTGTACCCTCAGAACAATGGTACAATTTTAAGAAGTATGGCCATGGATATATTCACAGCCTGGGACTTCCCTACGACTACGAATCTATCATGCATTACGGGAAGCGAGAATTTGCGAAGTGCCCATGGCAAACTACCATACGACCCAAGAAAACAGGGGTGTCCATTGGCCAACGACGTCACCTCAGTCCACACGATGTTGAGAAGGTGAATCGTTATTACAGCTGCGAGAAATAAACCTTTTATGCGCCTTTCTAAGTCAAAATTTCGGAGAGAGCGAAAATAATAATAACAAATAAAAACAGAACGGACAATGGAACTCTTCCCTGAAGACTGTCTTACATTTTGCAGTAACAGCTGAGGTGGAAACAAAGCTAAATAAATGTTGACCTTGTTTTGATACAAGCCTTTCTGCTTTATTGTGTAAATTATGTAGTTGTTATGCAATGATTACTTTCACTGATAATTTGACATTGTTGTCTCCAAAATAAAAAGGTTAATTATTTTCTGTTGAATAGAATAACAAATTCAACCGCGAATTCTTGTTATCAGCAGATGTAATTGGCCCCCTCAAATACGACCTGACATTTCTTTTATCCCACTATTATTATTACTGCGTATTTTTTCCGCACATCCCAATGCAATGAATTTGCGCGCGAAACGCGAGAAATGAGCTATACGCAGGACACGTGGACTGGGTTTCCAGCGCGAAGGGTTCCCTTGCTAAAGTCGACAACACACCCATTGTCCCTTAAAAAGTCCAGCTCAAGAAGGACACTTTGCTTGAGGTTGTCACAAATATAGAATAGCTGTTTAGCTCTTATCTCTTTGAGGGCCGTGTCTAGTTACATTGTTCCCAATATGTTCAGCTGGGAGCCCTCGGCACCCACGACCTTGGATCCGACCTTGCCTAGGGCCCCGTTAAAAGCAATGCACTTAAAAGCCTCGTCACTCAAAATACAGATTGGGCTACCACAGTCCACTACGGCAGTAGACCCCTTTTATCTTGCAGTCAAGTAACAACACGTTAGGCTGAATGTAACTAATGCGTATCACTGGTACTCGGGGAGCGACTCACGATCTGTTCCCCACCCTGCGGAAGTTTCCCTGCGGGCAGTCCCTCTAGATCTGGAAATGATACAATGACCCACATGTCCAACACCCTCTGCCCCTGCTATTAGCGAGTCCAAACTGGCGGGGGACGTAGTTTCCTCGGGTGCTGCTCGAAGGGATGGCATTAACCACTGCTTCGGCTGCTGCCTTTGCGGTAGCTGACGCAATCATAGTCGAAAGCTCTGGGGCCGAACCTGGTAGAGCTGAGGTGGATTTTGCACTTGACAAGCTTCTTTATCGTGGGTTGACACTTCACTCACAACCCTTTCTCTCATTCTTACTGCTCTGAGTTCTAATGCTTCGAGCTCTAGAGCTTCTGACAGGGATTTATCTAGGGTCGAGGGTTTAGAGCGAATTACGTCCTTTGCAAGTGTCGCCCCAATTGCATCAGTGAAATGATCTACAAAAGTTTGCTTCAAACTAGTCGAGCTCAAAGACGGGTAAGCCTCCCCGCACAAGCGTTTAATATCAGTGCTTAAATCTAACAAACTTTCTCCCACCTTTCTTCGTTGCGCTTTGAGAGTAACTAGCTGCTTCGGGAACCTGACGCATGCCGATTTTTTTGCCTCCACAATACATGTCTAAGAGCTCTTGTCACTCGGCGAGAGTTGAGACATAACCACACAAGCTTTTTCTTTCATGCACAGGATCAGTTGATTTGCTTTTTCCTCTTCTTTCCAGCCGTTCATTCTCGCACAAGCCTCAAACTGGTCCAAGAACGCCTGAAAATCTGTGTCATTGCAGCTTCCTAAGAATTTTTCAGGCTTCACTCTCGTGGGCGCCGCTGACGGTTTCACGTACTGTTTGTTTTCAAACTTCGATATCCTCTCCAACGCTTTCCTCGCCGATTCCTTCGCTTCGCGGTTCTCAGGAAGTCTGTATTCGGACACAAAAACTAAATTCAGGCCTTTTTAACAGGTGTGTACACTAGGTCTTCCTCTTTTTAAAAATAGTAATATGTGTGGTTGCTCCCAATGTGTGGCTTCATAGCTCAGTTGGTAGAGCATCGCACCGGTAAAATCGCGAGGTCACGGGTTCAAACCCCGTTGAAGTCCTGAATTTTTTTTCAGGCTTCTTTACGCAATTGCATAAATTGCGTTCACTGCAACGATCATTTCTTCATTTTCATGAATGTCTTTACTAAGAAAATTAATAGCGGATTTGTAAACATCATTTTCGGACGTTTGAACAACACGCGAAACATGGTTCCGAACAACTCAACAAAAATATGTGTGGTAGTGTCTCAAAATTAACCAAACTTCATTCACGTATCCTAGACGGATGGTTCTTTGTACATATTGTCTTATTTCTCTGGGATCCTCACTCTTTTGAGTTTAAACAGCAGCTGAGTTGCAGCAAATTACCAATGGTGCCTTGTAATTAAAAGCAATAACTTGTACGTGAGCGCGCAGTTAAATCAAATTAAACAAATATTATTCGGCATCTATAAAGGCAGAAAGTGACAGAAAATGCTGAAATTCAGTGTCAATGCACGTAAACGAACAAAAGCGGTAAAAAGCTCCGAAATTTAACACAAACCCAGGAGCCCCACAGGCGGCCCAGACGTAGTATGTGTCACTGAATGAATATATTAATATTCACATGGACAAATTAATGTGATGAGTCGTCGAAACTCCCATGGACTGAAATAGTCTAAAAGTCAAAATATAACAAAACAAAGCTAAGATACCTTCAACTGAACGTATCCTTGTCTTTCCTGGCCGGTTTAAGTGGCATTTTGTTGAGTTTTGCAATTGTAGGTACTATCCACTAAAGAAGAATTAAAGGCTGCTGGCTACAAGACAAACTGACCATCTCCACGCGCCTTCACACGAAGCGCTATAAATTCGAGAATAATCGACGAATCCGCTCCAAATAACTATCGGCTAATCTGCAGGTAACGTGTGCTCCTGCTTCTGGCTCGCTTGCTCCACAAAACCCATCGCAACTGCACAATAATTGCTCGCTCATCAACAACCACTGTTGACCTTAACGCTTCGATATGACCGCAAACGACCAGGTTTAATACGCGACGTGAATATTCAAGCTTAGCGACCGCGTTCGCGCAACAATGCAGCACTTGTTATGCCCTTGATCCCCAGAAATATTAGGCTCGATTTTCGGGGGATTGCGACGCTGAACGCCGCAATCTTTGCATATTTGTGAAGGGCGAGGCGCCAAGTCTATTGTTTTGAACCAAGGGTTATATTACATTAAGAGACCCTGAGTCGTGTCTTAACACTGTCATCGATGTTCATTTTAATGAGCAATCTTTCATCTTTGACAATTAATCCTGTTTATCTTAAGTGGACACCCAATGTAGTTGTTTTTTACGTGCACTGTCGCAACCATAATATCAAATAGACTTGAAAAATTCTGCGTTGACGCTTTACTCTTCGTCTTTAATTGTAGCCGACCCACTGAATGAACAATAAATTAAGAACAACCAAAAAAATTCAGAGTACCATCATTTTATTTTTGAATGCACACTTGTCTGCAATGAGGGACCTAAGGTAATGTTGTTCCGCTATCTGGTTAAAATTACACTAACAGTTTTCTCTGATGCACTACATTCATTTAACATAAAACGGGAAGGTATCAGTTTTCAGAATATGCGGGTTTTTACAGGGGTAGTCTATTTGCATGTATTTGGCCCGAGCCCAACTACAATCGTCTCCAACTTCATGTCCAACCGGCTAATTTACATAACATTCGCAAGATAATCTCATCAGATGAAATTATCACCTTGTCACACTTTTCAAGCCACAATTCCATCATTTTAAACGGAGCTGAGCTGTCATCGTGGGACAACGTTTTTTGGTTAGTGAGTCAAATTTCTGTTCATATTATTTGAAAACATACTTACATATTTATAACCTATTCATAACTTATAGATTTACAGCGCTCTATTCAGTGTCAATTATATTTCATTCGCGTCGCGGAAGCTTGAAGCCTGTTGAAAATTAGAATCTCGGCGCTATTTAGGGGTTTAAACGACTAAACTGAGTATAAAAGAGGAGGGTTTCCATTCAAGGAGATTTGGGTTTTAGGAAACTTTTGATTATTAGCCAGACAATTAACTCCTGCAAGCAATGAACAAATAATAACTATACGTGGACCAAGTATATTTTTGTCAATGACATCACTCAAACCAGTTGCTTCTTCTCCAATGTAAGACGTTATTTGAAACAAAAAATCGCACATTAAAATGTTTAAAACGGCACTATTCGACTGTGCAATCAATGAAAAATGTTGTAGTGTTGACGGAATTTTGCGCAAGGCATTTAATGCTTCTTTAGTCAAATGTACATCAGGGTCACCACAACGTATATTTTTTGCCAAATGATCCCAAATTTAGGCCTTACATTTTGATCCCTGATCCCAATATTGTTGCAAAACTTAATGCCTGATCCCGTGAATTTTTTTGATCCCTGGATTCAATCTGAGTTGGATTAACTGCGTACGTATACTTTGTAAAAACTGAAAAAAAGTGTTTCTCTTTTTGATTTCTTTTACAATTGGTCACATCATTTACTGACTGGTCTTTTTAAATACAATGACGTGGGACGTCTTCTGCTTTTAATGTTTAGTACTGATTTGCTGTTTGCAATCAAAAGGGACGCGTATATCTTCAAGGAAACAGGATGATTTTGTAGGTTGCCGAAGCCTCAGAAGCTCGACAAGTGGGTGATGGCTGGAGAAAAGCGGCAAACATGTTGGCCCAAACTTCACGCTGAAAGCGAATACGAAAGCCAGGTCACTGCAATTCTGTAAAACAGAAGTAAAAACAGATATTGGTGGCAAGGCAAAAAGAAATAAGCGACGGATACATGGCCCACTTGTCAACGGAAGAGACCTCCGCCATTACTCAAAACAGGTCAAGTCGAGAGCGGGTGAAAGATTCATTCACGAGACTCATTCATTCATGTCAGTATCATTTTACACATATCTATGTATGTCTGTATTTACAACTTCCTTTGGATGATATTAATTCGTCGCTTTGGAGTGAATTGTTAGAGGTACGTTGGCAGAGCTTAGCAAATTCAGTGCAAATTTAAAATCTTTTGATTTCTTTGTCATTGCGAAATGAAATAATTTTATCAAAACTAGAAGCTCTAGTGTGTGAATCTTATGGCTTGCTATTTGCCTGGTCTCCTTTACGGCATTATCTCGGAGAGCTCTTGGTAAAAAAGTGGTATAAAGCTCACATTTTACTAGGTTAACTTTTAAGGCAATGTTTGTGTCAGGACTGAACACGGCAAGCTTCTGTTTCGAATCATTAACTGCGAGTCTAGATCCGTTTAAGAAGACCATCATTTTATTTATTTATGTATTCTTCACTTTTAAAATATTATGGAACATGAAGTTAAAACTCTTAACAGCCAAAGATAAGAAATAGGAAAATTACTCGCTGAAATGAAATGTGGCCGGCTTACCGAGTCTGCCGAGTAACAAGTTGAAATTTTGAGCGTACTCCACTCGATCGCTCCTGCATTTATACCAAAGAGATAGTTCTAATTGATGTCCGTCATCGATAAAGACCAGAGAATAACGTCCTGGCGAACAAAAACCAAACATAACTTCATCGAAACCTCAGTCACCGCTTCTTTCCTGTCTTCCTTTTTTCCATCTCGATTTGAACTGTTTAGTTCAATGGCACACGTCTCTTGCGTTAACAAGTAGGCCATATATCCATCGCTTATTTCTTTTTTTCTTGCCACCAAGATTTGCATTATTTATATTTTTGTTTTACCGAATTGCAGTGAGCTGGCTTTCTAACTCGGTTTCAATGTGAAGTTTGGGCCAACATGTTTGCCGCTTTTCTCCAGCCATCGCCCACTTGTCGAGCTTCTGATGCTTCGGAAACCTACAAAATCATCCTGTTTCCTTGAAGATATACGCGTCCCTTTTGATTGCAAACAGCAAATCAATACTAAACATTAAAAGCAGAAGGCATCCCACGTAATTGTATTTAAAAAGAAGTCCGTACAAAGTTATTTTAGGTGGAATCCGTGCTAAACACTCTGCAAGTTCACTGAAAGTCTTCATTTGCAATTTTTGTTTACCCTCCAACGCCTCGCAGTTTTTTCCCGCGTGTCCGCCATTTGTGAATACGGTGTAAATTTTGGGTTTTTCCAAGTCAAAATACCACGTGACTTATGATGACGTACATATCTTGAATCATTCAAACAAAGCAACTATGGCGGAGAGCTCGAAAACACCGAAAGCGACGCGAAGAGGAGGGCGATATTGCGTCGCTGGAACCCCAAACCAGCGAAGTTGTAAAAATACGACATTTACGCCTGGAATACGTATGCACGAGTTTCCATCTGATCCGTCTGTAAGAGCTCAATGGGAGCAATTTGTGCGTCGCCATAGCCATGATTATAAAGACCCGACCTCGAAGTATGCTTCGTTATGTTCTGCACATTTTGACGAATCTTGCTATGAAAGGAAGATGTCAGTTGTCAGATCTGTGAAGAAAGAGTATAAACTTGAAATGAGAGTCTTTTTAAAAGCGACTGCCGTGCCAACGAGGGATTCTGTTACCCCTCAATCACCTGAAAAGATCAGCCAGCGAGAAAAGAGGAAGGTAAGAATTTCATATGTTTACACGCTTATTTCCAGCGATCTGTGCTACAGTAGTAGTCCCACATATTTTTTCTTTGTCTGGAATACCAGCTACCGTTTGCTTGTCTTCATAAGTATTTAAAGATATGTACGATTTGCTTAGTTTTCACCACTTCATGACTTTCAAGAGAGTCTAAAAATGAACTTGATGTTAGGGTTAACGTCAATAAACAAGACGGCCGCATTTTTTTTTAGGTTTCTTCCGACAAGGTGAGAAGAGTAAAAACCCTTAGTTTTGGCCGTCGTTGACAATAATGCGACGGCAATAGGTAAACTATATTAGTCCAGTTAAACAGTCAAAAGAGTTTCCTTTTTTATCCTAGAAAAAGAATTGCTGTTTTCCTTACAGACATATCCGATTTTATTTATTGTTAGCTTATATATAATGTTTTTCGGAAGTGGCATTGTAATAACATCATCAATAAATTTTACCTGATTTTTGTTTCTTGTTTTAGTTAACACGTGAAGTTATGGCTAAAGTGAATGTGCCTCCTAAAAAGAAAAAGAAAAAGCCTTCCTCATCCACTGCCCCTGCCACTTTGGAACCAGCTTCTGATGGTACAACATCTTTAGACCAAGGTGCAGAATCAAAAGCTGTTTCCAAAGACATGCAAATGCCTACTGCTTTGCCTGGGCCATCAACTTCTGGTGAGGACATTATAAACATTCCATCAACCTCAGCCTCTGTTACGGTGCCTCTTATTCAGGAGCCTGAGGAGCCTGCTTCAGACAACTCGGCAGCATATGGTACAGCCTCATCCTCCATGCATACTGGTACAACAAGCTGTAAAGGATGCAAGCACAAAGCAGAGTACCTAAAAGCAATGGGCGCGAAGAAACAGCTGAAGAGCAAAGTGAAAAGTCTAAAAAAGGAGGTCTGTTCTTTGAAGGCCACCATTGCTGAACTTCAGAGTGTAAGTTTTACTCAGTTTACTACCATATTTTATTTTTTTCAATAATTTGAAGTAATGTTCTAAAAGAATAATATAACCTCTTCTTGGTTTTGATTTAGTGTGTGGCTGAAAATGAAACAGAGGAAGAAGAAGGAGAATCTGCACAGCCAAGTAGTGAGAGTACTTCACATGGCCAAAATTATTTTTCATGGTCAAGCACTGGAGAGGAAGAGGAGGATGGTGCTGTGGAAGGTAATGACCAAGAGTGGGGCCCAACAGGAGCGAGTTCAGAGGAAGAGCAAACCACAGAAGATGAGGAAGAAATACCAGAATCAAATGCAAATGATATAAAGTAAGAATTAATGTCTGTAGCCCAATGTTTAAGGTGTTGTCGGAAAAGCCACTCTTGGGGTTACCTTGTTGTGATAAGTTCCTTCCTGCTTTCATCTGAAAATCAGGGTGCTGCTTTTTGTGTTTGTTGTAGTATTTCTCTTGGCTTAAGTTCTTCAAGTATTAATTAAATGTTTTCATCGTTCAAGATGTAAAATTAACGTGTCATGCTTTGGATAGATTACCTATTGAAACTTTCAAACTTGTGAGCCATGAATCATTGAAAAGGTCTCTTTTCTTTGTTTCAGTACTGAAATATTGAATGTATGATAATTTTATATATATATTATTCTTTTCTTACCATTACAACCAGCCAAAATTTATTGTTTTTTATGAAATGCTTTTAAAAATTTTTTTGTTATTTTGCTTCAACTGCAAAGAAAATAATCCTCAAGTGTCTATGAGTAGTAATAAGGGCTACACTAGGGAGTAACCAATCAGAGGGGCAGCAGAAATTTTCTCGAGCAATCAGAATCGCGCATTTCGCCCATGTGACTTATTGACGTCACAAATGCCCATATATGGGCATGGTTATTCACGTGACCCCATGGAATAAAGAACACACGCACACAAGAGTTGAATCTACATTCTTCACATAGTTTTAATGACCGCGTAAAGCCCTGGGTACAAGCGGGACGTGTGACACCCTAATGACGTCACGCCCATTACAAATCTAATAGCAGGTCGAGTTCGTTCCCAATTCTCTCGTAGCCATAGGGATAACTGGATCGGGTGGCGACATCGATGACGCGCTTGTCGAACACCAACCCATACTGCTTTACGCGTGGAACCACTTGAATTTGTTTCTGTTCTAAATCTCGTTTGAAATAATAAGGGTTAGTTATGTTCAAATTGCGTCGAGAGTCCTGGGGCGAATCTAATTCCGAAAGAATGTTCTCTTTCATGGTCTGAAAATTGAGAATAGCTGACCCACGGACGTTCAGCGTGAAACCGCGTACCTTGCACACCACTTTGCCACCACGGGTCTGGTACCCATAATTCTTGGCGCCCCCCGAAACAAACTCGGTGATGACGTCTCCATCTAATTCATCCGTCATATCCCCCAAAAAATCCCCGGTGGCAATGCTGGGTTGACCGGGACGCCACTTGTACACCACACTATCGGTATCGTAATAAAGGACTTGCTGTTGAAGGGTGTCCAGGGACTCGTAGAGCTTTAATCGAGCATGACAGGTAGTGAAAGCTGCTACGAAAATATTGGTCTTGGTCCCTTTGACAGCATTGTCGTGGACACTGGTGTAGACAGCTTCCAAGATATCGTCGGTGCAAAGGCGGAGGGTGCTGAGTTCGAGGGCGGCATCAGAGATGAGATTGAACAAATCGGCGGGGTGTTGAACGGTGACGGTGGTGGGTTTGTTGATTCGCTCCCCGAATTTTCCCCAGAAACTGTTCAGCATGAGCTTGGCCGTGGCCTTGCGACCGGGATTTTTGGCAATACTGGCAATGTCCAGTCGGATCCCTTCCCGTTCCTGGTAACGAAGAATGTAGTTGCGTTTTTGCTCGAGGGTCTGACACCAACTGGGCCATCCCGCGGATTCTTGTTTTAACTTGAGCCACGTGTTCACGTAATCGGCAAAAAGACCCGTTTGGCGTTGCTCGGGGGGAAAATGCCAGACTTCGTGAATCTTGATCAGCGTGTACCCCTTTTCGACGGCTTTGACTAACTCGGGTGTGCACCAGGTGCCGCGTAGCGTACGATCCGCATCGGAATGAGGGCAATAATGGGTTCGGGTCAACATGGGTTGGGCCTGCTCGGTCTGGACACAGGCACGGCAGAGAGGAAACGTGAGCTTGTTGCCGCTACGCACGGGCAGAACAGGGTGGAACAAACCAGCGGGAGGAAGAATATCCACGGTGGCGACACCAAAATAGGACTCCAGGGACTGGTCGGCGGGTTGCGTGATGATCCGCGGATGCCCGATGGGATAGGGACAGTTCTTATTCACCCACGGGTACAGAGAGGTCACATCCACATAGCGTATTTCCTCGCCTTCTCCAGCCACAGCATGCAGAGCCACCGCACCGGTTCGACCCCCAAAGAAGGCTTCACGGGGTTCTAGGGGTGCCACCAGATCGAAGGACGTCAGAAAACGTTGGACGGTTTCATCCGTGTCCACCAGATGGTCCCATTCACACTCCCACATTTCAATGACTGTATGACCCGCTCGGAGCAATGCCATGCGTTTGGAGAGCGTGGCTTGATAGAGTTCCTCCACGGTTCGATCCGGTGTGGCATAATGTTTGGCGGTTCTCACGGGATAACAGCGGGGACAGCCATGATAGAGACATCCATGAAACTCGTAGACGGTGCGAGTCACAGGATCGTAGCCATCGACGAAATGACGATGGGCGCTGGTTCGGATAGACTGTTCGCCCCCGTTACGAACGTGACGTATGCGATCGGCACTGGCCCCTTCTTTGGGAATGAGGTGTTCTTGGTAATAGAGCCATTGCAGGGCCTTGAGGGATTGATTGACTTGGGCCCCTCGCCAACCCCCCAGTGGTTCCACAGCAATAGTGTCGGGGGTCAAATGATGCTTGCGCCAATACAAATTACAGGCACTGGCAATGGTGATACACTTGGCCATGGGATTGAAGCCAGCCTGCTGTTCAAATTCTTGTTGAAAGGCTTCACACCCCGCTTTCAATAGAGCCACATCCGATTTGCAATAATCAATCATTTCTTGCTTGAAATGGAAGGGCACGTTCCGACGGACTTGATCGGCGTGCCAACGGGTCAGTTCGTCTTTCTTTTTGGCCATCATGCCGTCGGGATCGTAAAATTCCAGATCAGGGATGCGACCCACATACTGTTGGTGGTCGGGGGTATTAAACAAATGGGGAAAGAAGCCCTTCTTTAACTCAGTCAAATTGAAGGTGCTGGGAAAAGAGGCCATCGGCATAGGCAAGAAACACAACGAGTCAATGAATTTGATAGGTCTACTCTTGAACGACAACACTTTGGCCCCCACGGTCAGCTGATCCTCGACCACGCGTTGTTGCTGGTACAGTTCATGGAGAATAAACATGCCATCGAAGCCTTTCAAATTATGAAACACCACGAGAATCTCCCGCTCGCCTTCACAGTCTGGAACGTCTATGAGATCATCCAAATCACGCAAAAATTGTAGGGCACAGTCCTCCCCGTCCAATACATGGATGGTTGTTTCGGCACTGGACGAATAACATAACAAATTGGCTACAAACACCCCTTCCGCATTTTGCATGGCTTCAAAATCCGCGTAAACAAACAGGGGAGGGGGTGGCGCCACCATGCTACCTCCCCCCTCCTCTGTCGGTTCAGTCTCCTCATGCTCTACCACGGGCTGAATGTAACACTTATGGTCTTGGATAGGTACCCATTCCTGACACACGGAACATTTGGCGTACCCGCACTGATGACGTTGGTTGGGGATGACCGTGTATTGGGCTTGACACTTGCGACAGTTTTTGATGGATTGACATTGTCGGCTGACCACATGATGTTGCATACAATGGATACCATAAAACTTGCGGTGACACAGACTGCAATACTCGGTGGGGCGGGTGCCACGCACATAATCCGGACAATCAAAGCGCCCACACGCGGAGCAGCGTCTCCCTTGACAAGTGTGATTGGTTCGATCGTTAGTGTTGAACCCTCGTTCACAGTCCAGGCAATAATAGGAGCGATTCACAAACGCGGGAAAGGACGTGCAGCCGTCAAAATGATCATTGGACTTGAGTAAACGAATCTGATGAGGGGCGGCGGGGCCTTTGAAGATTAAAAAGAACGGTTTCATCCGGGTCATCACCAAGAGTTGATATTGAGGTCCCAACGCTTGTTGAAATTGACGAAGCTCGGGTAAACCACAAGGTCCCTCAGCGACTCCCGCTTACTGATGGAGGGCCTGGGCTTGACGTTGCTGCACAGGAAGACCACGTTTGAGATTGTCCCAATCGCGAAACCCGTCCACGCCTTGATCTTTGTGGCAATGGGCACGCATGGTGACAATGGCACGGGCACAGCATAGGGTATCTCTGTTTCGGATGGTGACAATGCATTGCTTTTTCTTGTTGACTCGATCCAGGCATAAACGTCCCACATTGCGTTGTTTATGTCGACCGGACCCTGGGCCGGGCATGGAGACAAACACCACATCCACTTGGAACCCGCGATCGGGGTTGAAGGCTTCATTGCTGTTTAATTTCCCAGCTAGGGTGGCCAACATCTCATCCAAACGAGCGGTGCGTTGTAAAAATTCCCCCACGGTGAAATTGGCTGTTTGATAAGCGTGGGTAAACCCATGCGCTGTAATGGCAAAATTGACAAAATGATGGGCGGGTCGCTGCTCACGACCGAGTTCCGTTTCAATGGCTTGATGCAATGCTTCCGTTAACGCCATCCCAATATTGTCCCCAGGACCAGGATCCCTCAATTGACGCAATTGCGCGTTGAATTGCGCCCGCTCCACCACTTTACGCCAGCGGCGTCGTCGACCTATAGGTTGCATGGTGAATTGGAAGAGAGGGCCTCGGGTGGCGGCAGCCCCTCCCAGCTGTTCCCACCGGTCATAAGCGCGGTTCAACAGAGCATCTTCCTCCTCCTCATCACTGACAGGATACCAGCGGTCCTCCGCCATGACGGAGGAGACAATTTGAATTTTCCCGCGCCAGACGCTGGCTTTTATAGACCCAAAAACACGTGATCAAACGAACGGGGATTGGTGGATAGGACTCAGGTGAGAGTCAGGTGAGGGTCAGGTGAGGGGGTTGATTGGACAGGAGGAGGATTGAGGGGGGTGCCCCCCATGGGTACAGATTTCTCAAGTCTCCGCTGAGCCTGGATCGAGATCGCTGATTGGCGGAGAGAACTCTAGATATAGTCCATCGTTCAGACCAGACGTCAGTTGTGTTCGAGAATGCCTAACAGAGATCCCGAGAAGGTGAAAGAAGCTAAGCACAGGTGGTACCTCAAACACAGGGAGAGGATTGCAACACAGAAGCGTGAGAAGCGGGCGGCTCAGAAAAAGCTCAAACCGCCCAAGCCATCCAAACCGCCCCCGACCCCTGAAGAGATTGCGAGAGCCCGAGAGTTGAACCGGTTGGCCTGTAACCGATACCGAGCCACGCATTTGGCCCAAGTGCGTGCGCTGAACCGCAATTACTATCATCGTAACCGCGACAAGATTGTGCAGCAGCAACGGGACCGTCGTGCTCGAATCAGACAGACGCCCAGTCCATTCCGAAAGTTGCGGGCCTTGGCGGATGTGTGTGCCGCGCGTTTATTAGAGCTGGATCATGGATACGCCAGGATTGCGCCAGCCCCCCAAGAAAACAAAACGGGACCCTGAAAAAACCAAACAACAACAAAAACGATATCGGCAGCGCCTGTACGCGGCCGTGAATGGAATCGAGGATGTGAAGGCCATCCACCGTCAACGCTACCATGAACGGATGGCTCGTATGAAAGCCAATGGGGAGTACGAGGCCTTCAAGGCCAAAAAGACCGAAGAGGGCATGCGGCGCTACCATGCCATGACCGAGGAGCAGCGAAGTGAGGTCAAACGCAAAAACAACCAATGCCAAAAAAACTGGATGCAAAAAATGAAAGACAAGGGGACGTACGAGGCGTACCGACAGCGATTAAATGCGCGGCGGCGGGAGATTGCCATCGAGAAAAAGCGTGTGTCGGGCGAGGAAGGTGGAAAGCGCTACAGAAACAGAGATACGAGAAGCGGATGGAATCGATTCGGCGTCGAGAATGGTCCTGGTTGGACGAGGCCTTGGAGCGTCCCTTTCCATTACCGTGGCTGCCCTTAGACTGGGCCGAGTCCGAACCTGAAGAGGAGGACAGGGTGCAGATCCTTCGTGCCGAGGCATTACAGCAAATGGACATGTATTTGTAAGAACAAAAATGAAGTTTAATTAAAACATGTGTGATTGAACAAAGTGGTCTTGTTTATGATTAAGGGGTTTACATGCCCAATCGGAGTTTGGCTTTCATAATGCGTCTAACAATACCCTCTGTTAAGTTTTTACTGCCAGGGAGTTGATCAATCTTGGCAATCATCTTGCGATCCGCTGCCCATTTATCTTTCAAATTCTTGGCTTTATCATAATCGATGTCATGGGCTTTAGCAATCCTGTCCAACCGGTTGATGCCGGGATCCCCACGGGCCAATCGTTTCTTTAAATGGGTACCAGGGCCCATGTACTGATAACCGGGCCAATGAAATTCAATGCCGGTCTTGTTGAGGAGGTTTTGTACATCAAATAACTTGCCGCCACGTTGCGAGCGTCGTCGTCGTCTCGATCGGGAACGGGGCGCCGCACGGCGTCTACGAGTTCGTCCCATTTTTTACGGGGTTTTCCACGATTTCCAATCCAGGGCTTTCTTGGCCGCACTGGTGGCTGTCTTTTTAGCAACGCCAGCGGCTCTTTTGCGAATCCCGCGCTTGACCGCTTTCTTGATGGATTCCACACGTTCACTGGGGGTATCCCACGGTTCTACACCGTACGTGTCTGAAAAAGGCAGATCTTTGGCCAATTCTTCACTACTCAACGGGGTTGTGAACTGGAGTTTCTTTTTGGCACTGGGGATGATCTTTGGTTTAGGCGGGACAGGTGGTTTTCTGGGTCCACGAGTCGGGGTGCCTTGTTTTATACCCTGGGTGGCCTTGACCAATTGTGTGAACCATGCTTGCATCGGGCCCGCCTCAAAATCATCGTCGCCCGGGGTCGTGGCCCCTGCGGCACTCACACCTCCAGCTGCGGCTCCAAACGGTTGGCGCACTTTTTTGGTCCAATGGCGTAATTGACGGCTCACGGCTTTGAGTTGAGGCCGTTTCCAAGCATCGGGGGCATCACTGGTCAGCAGTACATGTTGTTTGGCGGCTAAATCAGCCGCTTTGGTCAAACGGGTATCTTCCACCAATTCTTGTTTGTACTGGTCTCGTAATTGTAAAAATGCCGGGGCGTTGTCCACCGTGGTGCTCACCATCTCGGGTTCCATGGTGCAACTGAGGGGTCTGGTCTAGCGCATGCAACGTTTATAACATCGGTAGAGTTCGGGCCAGAGGGCACCCCCTTTTTGAGCCATCATGATGGCGCGTCGTCGTTTGACGGAATGAGCGGGTTTGGCCATGGCGCGTAAACTCTGGGCGTGAGGTTTGAGCAACGTAATGGTCTGTCGGGAACGGGGCACCGTGCCACGGAGAGTGTTCATCACCAATTCACTGATGGCATTGATCTGATCCGCATTGGCCATCCTCAACAATTCTTGTCGTTTGTGTTGATTGGCTTCTTGTAAGACACTTTTTAAGAACGGGGCTTGACGTTCCATGCGCCAGGCCATGATGAATCTTAAGTTCAGGCAAGGACCAAGGTCTATTTATGGTAAAAATGCGCCACACCGACCACACAATTCGCCATGATAATGCTGTTGCATGTGATGTCGACACCGTGAACACAAGGCCGCTTCATACTGGTCGTCCCAATCCAAAGCAAACGTCACGGCTTTTCGTTGGGGTCGTCGTCGGTTAGTCCGGGCGTCGAAGGCGGACTCTGGGTTTGTATTTCCTGAGCCACAAAGGCGAGAGAGCCATTGCCAAAAGCGGTAGCCTAGCGCCGCGTTGGAGTCCACGTCGCCGGCGTCGTATTCGAGGGACATAACGATGTCGGCGTCCGTTGGGTCCACGGACCATCTTCAATGAGAGTCTTGTGTCCAACCAGGCGTTTCTTTTATACCATCCCCAGAATCCGCGCTTTTTATACTATTTTTTTTTCACATGATCGAACAATTAAACGATTCCCCCGCATATTTTTTCCGTTTGCCTGAAGCCACTTCCCGTCGACGTTTTTCACCAATTTTGATGGCACGCTTGGTTTGATGCTCTCCGATGGCTTTGCTACCAGCATAGCCAGCTTTGCCAATTCCCACAATGAGACCCGGCGAGACACCCCCTACTTGACTGTAGGTCACACGCCGCCGTCGACGTCGAGTCGTCCTGCGTTTGCGTTTGGGTCCCATGACGACTCCTTTTGGAGAGCTGAACACCACGATCCTCTTTTTTATACATGTCACATCAAGCTGCACCCCGCTTTTTTGGCATACCCCTTCTTGACCACCCACTTGTCGTACGAGTCCTTGCTACCACTGGCGCGATACTGGCGTTTATAGTCGGCCACCTGTCGTTTGTTCGCCTTCATCTCGGCTTTGGAAGGAATCTTCCACATATTCTTGTCTGTCAACAACTCAAAGCCTTTTTTGACATCCACGAAGAACGGTGCCGACCCACCCTTGATCCTACGTCGACGTGATCGGCGTCAGGTCGTGGTGCGTTTGCGTCTAGGGGCCATCGCGTGTCGACATTTGCCACACATGGTACTAGGACGGTGGAAGGGAGGCCCCTGTTTTTATAGCCTTGGTTCACGGGCGTACGCCCCGTCCGCGTGCTCGGCCACGACCGCGTGCTCGGCCACGGCCCCGTCCTCGGCGTGGTGATCTGGGTGGACTTGGGCTGGACGTTCGGGTGGACGTGCGGCGCACTGACGGTCGCCCTCCCCCATCTTCGTAGACCGTGGTGACGGTATTGGTGTGCGTGATGTTGCGAATACGTCTGCCCCGAGCCCGTTGTTGAGCATCTTCATTGAGCAAATCCAACCGTCGCCTTAATCCCCGCCGTCGTTCGTCGTCATCATCATCGCCATCCTCTTCATCGGACGGAGGGGACGAATCGGGGGACGGTGGGGAGGGCACGCGGGGACGTCGTCGCGGTTGTTTGGCAGCAATGGTGGGACGTCCAGTGGGGGTCGTCACCGTCGAGGTAGTGGTCCTGGTCCCTGCCCCGGCGCTGCGGCGGCTGGTGGAGGGGCGGGAAGGCGCGGTGGTGGTCGTGGCGGTGGTGGCAGGGCGTGTTCGGGTGGACGTGACGGGTCGACTGGTGGTGGTGGTGGTGGTGGGGCGTGTTCGGGTCAATGTGGTGGGACGGGTTTGAGTGGCCGTGGTGGTGATGAGGGCGGTGGTGATGGTGGGTGGTGGTGGCGGTGCTGTGGTGGTGGGGGCAGTGCCAGTGCCCGCCACGGGCGGTAACGTGAACGCAGTCAAGGCATCGTCTACATTGACCGGGTAGGTCAAATTGAAATCGTCAATGTCTTGCTCCAATTGGGCACGATCCACGGGTCGAGACAATTCGGCCACCATGTCTGTCATGCTGCTGAGATCTCGGAGGACCGAGGGGGAGCCTACCCCCGCAGGCGAGAGGGTCGGCGAGTCCATGCGAGCCGCTAACTCAGTATGTTGTCCGCCTTCTCTTTGTCGACGGACCCTGGCGAGTTCTCGTTGCAGTTCGTTTTCGAACGGCAGGGACATCCGCACGCAAGGTGTGGACTTGCGCCTTGCCTTCTCGAGGCGTTAAATGACTCCACAGGCGGTAGCGATCATCCGACGCAGGATGTACATCCAACATCAAATAGCCAAAGGGACGGGACGTGATGCGTTTAAATAGGCGCAAGACTTGACGCCACCGATCCGGAAAGGCTTGTAATAAAATCGTCCGTATGCCTGTTTGATCCCGGGGGTTTTTGAACGCCACAATGTAATGCGCGTTGCGATTGATGGTCTTGGAAAATTTGCCAGGTGGGAATAAATCTTGTGTCAAATACAGCACCGTGATGTTACGATGATGCGAATCTTTGGTGAACAAATCCAACACGCGCTTGTCTTGTCCCCCTTCTTCCATCAGGTCGTCCAAGACCAACACCCCGCCGCGCGTCCGACCAAACCATTGCGTCAAATGACGGGGGTCCGGTAACCCGCGATGAAACTGAATCCCATCTTTTTGTTGCATACGATCGAACCGGGGTTGCCAACGATCATAGGCATACACAATCTTTTTGGGTTTGACTTGAAAGACGTTCAGGTACCGTAACCATTGTTCCACCAATTCGCTCTTGCCACTGCCCGACGATACTGGGTTGTCGGATCATGATTCCCACGGTCGAGGGTGACGTCGATAATGACCGGTGGCCCCTTTAGCGCCCATGCGTTTATACCGTTTGTCGCGTCCCAATTTATCGCCAATTTTATACGCTTTGGCCAACACGCTCATGATGCCTCGCCCATTTTGGCGAAAGCGGGGTCGTCGGGTGGAGGTGCGCTGTCGTCGTCATCTGGGCATACTGTCCAATATTCGCGGTATAATCGGGGGGACTCGGACTGAATCAGCCCTTCCATGGTCTCTCTTAAATACGTTTCACCTATACTGTCCATGTAGTGCTTGAGGGAGACCCAGTCTTGGTCTTGCGCCAATTGTCGAGCCACTAACCAATGATACCCATCCCAGGCATCGATGCCTTGGACCGTGTTGACCCGCTCGATCGGGTGTTCCCACCAATACAAGGTTTCTTCGAGAATGAACGCATCCACGACGCGCTGGACATCGGCTCGCGTAATCATGATGATGAGACACAATGACCACTCTTTCACCACACACCTCGTTTTATGGGTTTTTTATTTCAACACTCACAAATGATTACAAGTGATAAAGGCCTGGCGGCTCACATTCTTTTGCCCCCCTTCAGGTCGGGCATCCACTTCATCTTGTAATTCCCGTTTAATCAACCGTTTCAACTGCTCGGCCACTTTTTGATCATTCAACACTAAATTGTCGCAACTCCATTGACTTAAAAATTCTTGATACGACCGTCCTTGTGCACGGGCTTTCAAGAAAAATAAAGCATATTGGCCACAGGTTTGACTATCCAGGGCTTGCAGAGTCTGATCACTGCGCGTCAGGTACTTCCATTGACCCCACCATTGGTGCAGCTCCGGGTTGGTGTACACGTGCAGGGGTAGACCATAACTGTCAAAGACCTCGCACTGGTTCTTTTCCGTCCACAGGCCCAACCAATGCTGTCCCGGTTCTCCCGCTGGATCGGTGTTGACAATGTAGGCTTGACGGACACTCTTGGCAAGGGATCGGGGGAGTTGGTCGGCTGGGTGCACCCCATGAAACACGCGTCGTAATTCGGGGTCCTCCAGGGCCAGGGTCCGCAACACAGTATCACTGAGCGCCACAAACTCCATGACCAGTGTCTTCTGACTTCTGAGGCAATCTCATCCGTTGATGTTGTACTTTATACCTCCCAGATGATTGATCTCATACATGTTTTCATACTCGCTCCACACCAACACGGTGATGTTATGACCCACTGCAGCGGCAAAATCAATCACCAGTCGCACATTACCCGATTGACGGGGGTTGCGATACTGGGGGTCATCTGCTTTTCCACTGGGCACATTGTTGAACATGAACAACGTGCAGTTCTTGCCTTGTCCCCAATCACCAGGCAACAGCATAAGGATCTTGTCTTCATTGTAGGCACCCATGGCTTGTTGAAATCGATCGTACCCCAGCAGATCTTCATAGGCTTGGTCTCCAGTCAGTTGCAGGGTTCTGTAAGGGTATTCTTCTCCATTCAAGGTCTGTCGTACTTGGGTGACACCAAACTTTTGAAAGGCAAAGGGGTATCTTTGCAGGTCTCCATTGAAGGTATTGGAATGCAATAACCCGACAATCACTCGATCAGGAAATCGACCCACAAACACATTGTCATGTTCGCACTGGGTGGTGCGTTCATCGAAGGAAAACGTGCGAATTTCGCTCCGCACGACGGGGTAGCGGGCAATCTGTTTTGCAATCTGTCTTTCTTTCTGCAGTCTGACATAGACGCTGGCATTCAGGGTCACTTTTCTCATCAGCAAGGTGACTTTGATGTCATCATTGTGGATGGCTGGAAATTTCTTGGTAGTCAAGGTGCCTTTGTTAGGGGTACCCATCAGGTAGACAGTGTTGGGGTTCAGGAAGAGTTCAAAGTCCATCTGGACATTGGGGACCAACAATTTGCCTGTCTTGAGGGGTGGCAAATGGGGACGAATGATGAAGGTGTGCCAATGTTCAGTCAGCAACCGGCTGGTCAGGGCTCGCAATTCTGTATTCCCACTCCAATTCGCATTGGTGGGGACATCCGAATTGGCTCCTGTGGCTCCCATGATTGGAATCACATTCAGCTGATTGACCCATCCTTGTGGGGCTAGCTTGGTGGCTCCTTCGTCTCGGTTGAAATTCAGCAGGGTTTTTATGTAGGCTCTGTAATAGTAGGTGTTGCTCTGTTCTGTCATGAGGACGCCATTCATGCTCATGGTGATATCTCGAAAGATGGTGTGACCGAAATTGTTGACGCAGTACGTGCTCTTGGAAGTGTTGGCATCGGAGGCCGCGGTCAAATCGGCACTCAATCCAGTATACCCAGCCGCTGGATCGGTCAGGCGCACTTTGACTTTGAATCGGAGAGAATTGGTATCGTAATAATCGTCGGAGCCTGGGATGGAGAAGGTGATGGGTTGGATGCCTGTCAAGGCGGGTTGAAACTCCACCTCCCGAGAGGCTTCGTACCGATAATCCACATCGGGCACGTCAAATAGACTGAGCGACATGATGCGGTCTGTCCACATGGTTCAACGGCGTCCTCTTTTTATACCTTTTCGTAGTCTGTACCAATCATGGATGGGATGCGCGGCGGGAAAGGGACGGTGAGGAAAATCGATTTGGATGCGTTTTTTCAATTGGCTGAAGACATTGCCCCCTCTCTGCTTCCTGGCTTTGGCTTGATTGGCCCACAACACTTTTCTGAGATCCCCTCCTTTCATGCGGCGCAAGGCCTGCTTTATCCTCCAGGGTTCGGGGTTGATTCGAGGCGAAGCCGATGGGAACCTCAAAGGATTGTTCTGCCTGCGAGTGGATTTGCCAAAAATCGTGCCCCCTTTCATCTTGCGGCGTTGTTTCATGTGTTTCAGGACCATGGGATCCAATAGGCGAGACGACGTGTGCATCAACGGATAACGCGCCATGGTCGACTTGCCAAAGATCGTGCCCCCCACTTGATACGGCGAAATGAACCGTCCACGGGCGCGTTGCCGTCGAATGCGATTTTGCGTTTTGAGAAAGCCTCCTACACGTACCATTTTTACAGTCCAAAGATATCCCGTACGCGTTGCGTGGCTCTTTTATAGGTATTTTGGGCGGTCCGTTTGACCTTGTGTTTGCCAGCCGTCCAAGCCATGGCAGGGGCTTTGCGTTTCAAGCCGCGGCTGAGTTGGGCACTTCGATCGGCCCACGTGTCCGCGGCACTCTTTCCTCGTTGAATATCTTGCAGTCCCGCTTGAACTTGTTGCACGATCAGGGGTCCCGCCAGTTTGATCAAGTCTTCCGCCAAGCCTTTACCCTCTTGCTTGGTGAGCACGGGCGTGTGGTACCGCGTTAAACTGCCTCCGCGCATGGTTCACGTCGAGTTTTGGACCCACGTGATGTTGGGGGTGACTTTTTATAGCTTTTTGAGACCAATGGTCACCAGGGTTTTGCCCGGGGGTAAGATGGCCAGGGGTCCACTGGTACTGGCAATCTCCACTTCCAAGATATCCAATTGTTGGCCTCGTAGTTTGATCCATTGGTGGTGCAAGGGTTCTGCCGTACTTTCCCCATCGCCGGTTCTCAACAATTGCACTTCCCGTAACAGGGGATACTTGCCACTGCCCACCACGGTGGATTCGACGAGATCCGAATAGACCATGACGGTGCGTTTGCGAGTCCCCACGATCTTTTCAAACGAGGCATCCAGGTTGTTCAACCGCCATTCAAACGCCGGGAACAATCTCAACCATTTCACATTGTCGGCTGTCACGATCGAAAAGGCTTGGCTGGTGAAGTTGACCCCCTCGTACACCTCTCCTTCCCAATTGTAATAGTTACGATATCGACTACCGACGGGGCCCGTGGTCTCATCATAGGTCTTGACGGGTAGAGAATATTGCAGATTCGGACCCAGCACAAAATCAGACGTGGCGTACCCAGTCTTGCCCGTCTTTCTGCGCAGCAAGCCAAACTTGAGCGCAATGACCAAGTTGATGTAAAACTCCACCATGGTAATTTGATTTGCGTTCAGCAATTCTTCTTTGGCAATCGCTTCAATCACCAAACTCTCTCCTTTCCAACTCAGTTGAGGCATGCCATGTTTTTTGACAAACACAATCGGTTTTCGGTCGGCTTCTCTGATTAGTGCGCCCCATTGATCTTTCATCGCAGTCCACATGATGTTCTTATGCAACGTTTGCATCACGCGTTTCCAAAACTGACTCCCTGTCGACACGATTTGACTTGGATTCATGACATCTTCCAATTCGACCACGCCGGACACCTTTGGGACCTCTACACTCAAATACCCTGAGGTCGAGGGGCTGCCCGTGTCTGTCCATTTACGCACCATTTGCGGATAGGTGTATCGGATCACTTTGGTATGCGGATCCGCCGCAATGATGGCATTGCTCTGGCCTTGATCCGGCACGGTCAGGGACAACAACGAGGCATGCCAGCCCTCGCCCGGTAAGCTAAGGCGTTCGGGCAGACGGACCTTGAAACTGTTGTTGGCATTGTTGGGAAACTCGTCGGTCGGATCGCTGATGAGCGTCAAGCGTTTAATCTCACTCATGATGATGAAGAGGCACGTCCCCGAGAGTGCCGGGTCCTTTTATAGCCACTGGTCCACTTTCTGTTTACTGCGAGGGACGCGTCCCACCAACGAATTGAAGGTCGATTGTTTGGGATGAAAACACACTTGCTGGGCAATGTTGGGAAAGGCCCGGGCCAGTTCCATCAGGGTCATGCAGGTCTTTTGTTTAGGGGGTTTCTTCTTACGCATGGGTGGATGACGACCGGCGCGTCGGCGTTGTTTTTTCTTGGGTGGGGACCGTAGAGCCCCTCGTTTCTTGGCATACTCCTCAGCTCGATGGTAGGCATTGGCGTAGGCCCATTGCTGCTTGGTGGGACTGGCCAACTTTTCCCACCACGGTTGGGTTTGCCGTTGTTCGGCGGCTTTTTTCTGGATGAAGTTCATAATGTCTGCGTCCGTGGTAGGGGGTGGCGTGTAACTGGCCCGTGGACGGCTGGAATCCGCTTGGACTTCATCGAGAAACCGGACCCGCTTTTTTCTTTTTCGAGGCGTTATTTTGACGCGGACCATGTTGCGCAGGAATCCAACTATCGTATTTGGCCGGCCACCCTTTCCACCGGACCAAGACCTGACGTCCTTTCCGTTTCAAGACTTTTTCGACCCGAAACAACGAATCGTCCGACACTTGGACTTTTTGGACATCGGGTTCGTAAAACGTGCCTTTTATAGGCGTGCCGTCCCATTCACTAAGTCGATAAGTGACCACGGGATGACGACGCACGTGCGTGACCACAAACACTTCTTCCGTCCAGCCCGGCAAATACCCTTTTTTGAAGGGACGATGTTTCTTGTTGAGACGTACCCGATCGCCCACGCGACATTTGGGCGGGGGGATCTTGGGGTGCAAACGCGACCCGTAGAGTCTCTCCCACACCTCGGGCACCGTCTTGGGGGTGACTTGGTGCGGGGCTAGGCCAATACTGCGATGATAGGTGTGATTGTACGTATGAATCAAGGGTTGTAACACATCCACGTACCGTAACGTATTGTGCGCGGTGAAATACCGGTACATGCGCTGTTTCAAGGTACGATGCCATCGTTCCACCACCGAGGCTTTGCTATCCCCATACGTGGAAAAATGATGCGTCCCCTGTTTCTTGAACCAGGCTTGCACTCCTCGATTGTAAAATTCTTTGCCTTGATCCGTCTGCACGCGGAGGGGTCGTCGTGGCGAGGCTTGCTTGTAAATGCGGGTCAACCCTCGGATCATCTCGGACGTGCTTTTGGATTTGATGGGCACGGCCCAGGCATACTTGGACAGGACGTCGATCACGGTCAACAAATATTTGTTCCCCTGATTCCATCGACTGAGTTTTTGCATGTCCACTAAATCCATTTGCCATTGTTCGTCTCGGTCAAAGACCAACGTGGGTGTGGTGGGAAACCGCGTCCGTCGGGGTTTGTGGAGCGTATAGCTCAACACGGATTGAAGAATCTGTTGCGCTTGCGGGGTTTTCAATTTATGGGCTTGGGCAAATTGTTGGACCCCACCCAAGGCCCCAGGTTCTTGGGGATCTTCGTAAGCGCGTGGCAACGACATCAAGACACTGACACACTCTCCGAGCCAATTTCTGTCTTTAATAGTTTTTTTCACAAACACCTACATTTTTCAAAACAAACCCGAGCTCCCAAAGTTCTTATGCAAATGGCGCCTTCTCTCAAACTCTCTCTCCTGGGCTTTGACGGAGTCTCCAAACTGATTCAACCACGGATCATGCTTTATCTTTTCTATCGCTGGGTCTGGCCTCTCTACATAGCGCATCTCTGTATGGTGCATTCCCCAGGGTCTCTCCTTCTCGGGGTCTTTCAAAAGAGGGACAGGACAGTCCTTGACAAATCGTCTCAGGGTCGGTTGCGCTTGCTCTCGGGGACACCACAGGGGACCATGGAGCCATTGAAAGTAGCCACAGGGTTTGGCATGGGTGAGAAGGCTCCCACAACTGAAAAACACTTTGTTGTAATTCTTAGCGGTGCGACTCAATTTCATCTTGGGGACAAACCCACATCGGCACTTGAGTTCTCCGTATTTCACTCGGGCACGGACTTGAGGATGCGTGTCTTCTTTCAATTTCTCCATCATCACCTCCCGTGTGTCTTCAAACAAATAGACCGGACACCTTTCTTGGGGACACTTGAACCTTAAGGGACCAAAATTGGATTGGGGGTTGACGCATTCAAGGAATCGATGGGGATGAAACGGGCATGCTTCATAGAGGAGTTGGTTCAACTGGGTGTCCATCTGCTCCAGGTCTTCCCATTCCCCCACTTCCGTTGCTGGCTCCGACTGAAACGTCCCTTCCTCGACACATTCTTCTTCATACTCTTTCAAAGTGCCCTCCATCAAATCGTTCACGGATTGATCCGTGGGGGAGGGTGTGGGCAGTGGCGTCAGGTCGGCCGCTTTAGGCAAGGCGTTGAGAGCGATCACCAGTTCACTGGTAGGGGGTTGAGTGGCTTTCATGTCTAGGGCTTGCGCTTGGGCTTCCTCCTCTTGTTTTTGTTTCTTACTTACGCGACGTCGTTTGCGTCCCGAAGGCACCGCCGCAGGTTGAGTGGCCTGACGATCCATCCCTCGACTGAACTGACTCTGAGTGAACGTCTTGCCTGCCTTTTATAGCCCCTCCTCCTATATCTCGTGATGCTCATACGATCTTTTTTCCACCAATCCGGACTCGTTCTGGGCTCTCGTGAGAGTGGTGTGATCCGTGGGTCCACCAATCAGAGACCACCCCAGTGGCTATAAAACCAGCGAGGTGTCAAACGACCCTCTCATTCGTCGCGGTCAACTTGAAACGGTAAGCATGGCGCTCCATGAAGTGGGTCTCTTGGTGTACAGTCAGGGGTTTGCCCTCTCCCGAGACGAGTATATTATTCGAGAACTGGCTTTTTGCGATTGGACGGGGCATCATCATGGATTGTTCAAATACCTGTTACCCACAGGCGTGTCGTACAATCAATTATCCGAGGAGGCCCAAACGCGCGTCGATCGTCAGACCCAGACGGTGCATGGCTTGCCCTTTGAACCCTTTTTGTCGGATTACAATCGTCCACACTTTCATCCCTACGAACAGATGCGAGACGATATCACCCGTTGGTGTCAACAGCATCTCACCCCCCAGCGGGAACGATTGGGGGTGTTCACGCTTAATGGGTTGTACCGACTGTTTCAAGAGCCCCCGTTTGCCTACCCTCTCGTGGTCCTGGAAGGGCAGGGTTGCCGGGAGTTGGCTTCTCTTCCCACCGCCACCGTCAATGTCCTGGCTACCAATGATCAGGGTCGCAATTGGTGCTTGGATCATCATCATGGAGCCCGTGGGAGTGGCGTCTGGCACGATTATTGCGCCCGCGTACGGGTCTGTCAAATGAGTGGATGGTTACGTCGTCAGACCCATGTCCTGCCTACCCTCTCGCAAGTCAACGCCCAACGCGTGCTGTGGCAAAAACGGTGTCATCGAATGATGGATTATCTGTTATGCAATTATTGTAAAGACGAAAAAGACGACGCCTTTGCTCGAGGGCAAGGATTGGATTGGATTCCCGATAATTGCAACGAATGCAAAACAGTTCGATGCATTTTCGAACAAACCGTCACCTGTCGGGAATGGCAAACACCCAGACTGTATGCCGATGATGAACCGCATACCATGTGGGCTTGGACTCCCATCCCTCATGATAAACGCTGATTTTTTTTCATTTTTCAGAACATGCTCATTTACACAGGCGGTGCCAAAGGTGTGGACACGCATGCAGAGCGATTATGTCACTTGTATGGTCATACGTGTGTGGTCTTTATCCCACCCTGTCACCCTCGATCCAAGTCCCTCACGCCCTTGACCCAGGCCGAGTTGGATGCTGCCACCTCCATGGTCACCCAGGTGGCGTTTCGATTGGGTCGACAAATCCATCATCCCATCAGCCTCCAGTATATCCAACGCAATTATCACGTGATCCAACCTGCGTCCCTCGTACTCGCCTTGGGTCATTTTGACGAATGTGGCAAGCATCTGTTGGGTGGCACAGGATGGAGTGTGGTCATGGCCCAGCTTTTAGGCAAACCCCTCTATGTGTTTGATGTGGATAAGGAACAATGGTGTTGGTGGAATCCCGACACTCAACAATATCTACCCTGTGACGGCATGACCGAGACCCAAATCGCTCCACCCACCCTCCAAGACAAGACCGCCATTGTAGGCACCCGAGAAGAAGACCCAGTCCTTTATCCCACCCTGGAAGCTTTATTCAAACGCCAATAAAAACACTGCTCTATAGAAAAATTCACTTGTTTTAATCTCAATGTATGTCAATGACAATAAAAGACATGGCTGATATAGTGTTCGTAATCAAATCTAGTCTCTTCATGACTTTGTCCAGGGTATCATAGGCGCGCTTCCTCCGGCCAATCATGACGGGGCGTTGAACCACGGGACATTGGGGGATCTGATGTTTGAACCGGTCAATGATGAAGGCAATGCCCTCATTCATCACCTTGTCCAGATTGGGAGGGACCCATGCCATCTCCGTCATCATGCCAATCTGAAAACCAGAAAAAAAGTTTCTCAGCGTCAAGGTCATGAGAAGAATGTGGCTTAAAAAATCACTCACCGACAACCGGTGATCCATCATACGATGGCAATGGTGGCAGCCATTTTTCCGGGGGGCATGCAGTCGCACCACCACTTGGTTCCACCACCGACCTTCGCCCAGGTTTTGGGGAAAGCCTGTCAAATCGCATTTGGGCAACCCTTTCAATTCCTGCACCACCTTCTTTCTCTTGTCCATCGTGTAAAAACAGTGCACCCAAAACATAATCTTGACTTGCACTTCCAGGGGCAACACGCAGCCAAACGGCTTGTTCCTGGGGTCGACTAACCCTCGGCAGTCCATGTTGACAGTGCTAAGCATGGAATGGGACCTCTCTGCTCTGTTCCCCCTTATTCATGGGTTCCTTGGACCAATCACCCACTCGCGCCAGGACTTGGGGTCCCACCCAAAAAAGTGTACCCATGGGGGGTACCCCCTAGAATCTCCTCTCGTGGTCAAACTCCCCCACGTGATGTCTCCACCAATCAGCTCCTCTCATGGAGTCTCTAAATCCCGTTGCGCGCTCCGTGTGAGCTCATTCCAGTTTGATCAGTCACGCTGTTCAAGATGGTCAACTCGTTGCAGTCACTGGTGTTGTTCTCTGTCCCGATTGCTGTTCTCTTCGACATGCTCAAGATTCTCCATCACCTCCCGATGGGCCATGAGTGTTTCCGTGCGCTATTCCGTCGCTGCACCCACGAAGAGCTGAGAGCGTGGGCCAAAACGCTGCCATGGGACCACCCCATCGCCCGGAAATTAGACCACGAGGTTCATCGCCGCCGCATGGCTGGTGAGTTTCATGGCTTTTCATTTTTCGGGTGTGGGTCCCTTTTTCCTTATATCTTTTTTTTTTTTGATTTTTATAGAGGTATTCAAGGGGTTCGATTTTCTACGAACCGTGCTGTGGCCTGTCCACCTATGTCTTTGCCCTCGACGTGCCAGACTCAATTGGGCTGCGCGGTTCTGGGTTCCAAACTGTTCGTGTTAATTTTTGTTTGTTAGATTCTTGGGAGTATATGGAAAACCAACCCGTGTGCCACATTTACCAGTGGGTCGCCCATCCCACCCCTGGCGGAGTGTGCAACCATTGTGAAAGGATGATGGATGGGTTACGTTTGGATGACATTATTGCTGGCAACCGGGAGGGGTCCCCCACCGAGGATGAGATTGTGCAATATGTGCAGGATGGGGACCCCAACCATCGAGACTGGGACGATTTTCCCTTACGAATGACGTTCAGGATAAATTCGTTTCTCCGGGCCCATGGTCCTGTGGGTGAACCAGATTTATTCGCGCTTGGCTTTTTAGAGGAGGATTAATTTTAGTTAATTTTTCACAGGCACGCATTGCCTGTTACGTCATCACTTGCAATGGATTCCGAGTTTGCATTCCCAATTTTTTCGCATCCTGATTCGTCCACTTTCCACCTCTTTGTAGGCTTTCATTATACGTTAAAAGAATATGGAGGATGGATACGTCCCGTTCAATTAAGATGTCATTATAGCACTGTCAAATGTGTAATCCAACTTCATGAAACATTTCAGATGTGATTTCCGTCATTGACCAATGGGGGTGGATACTTTCCTTGCAACATCGATGCCATATTCATTGTGTTCAACAACTCGTTCAATTCTGTAATAATACTGCTTTTTAGATACGCGTGTCCACCTCAAGAACAGCCGCTGGTTCCGAGACCGCATTGCTTTCTTACTTATGAAGACAGAGTATTATTATTAATTTTTTTCGCAGATTCGCATGCCATTCTCAGCACCCACAGGGTTCATGGCACCTCCGCTGCCTGGTGTTTTTGTGGCAGTATCGTGCAATGGTACACTGGAACAGGGGTTGCCCTTCCGTGTCCGAGCCCACTCAAATTACTCTGTTGTCGTTGCTTTTTGAATTTTCGTCGTGTGCACGATTTACACTTCCCCTGTTATTGGTGTGAGATGTTGCAAGACATGGGCTATCCACCCCGTCCTTAAAACATGTTGTTTTTTGTTTCAGATACTCGTTTTGTCATACGAGCTATTTATATCCCTTCCCTTTTTCAGCCACTTCCCAGATAATCACCAATCATACCAGATATACCCACAGTTATCTAATGAAACAGTTGTATTTTGTCTGCAATCGTTGTTGGACGTATTCACGTCACGTGAACACCCTCCATGAACCCTGTTGGGGTTGTCACATCTTAGAAAGCGCAGGATGGGAATTTTGAACACCCGGTAGGGGGAGGTCTGCATGGTGGCGCCACCCCTACTGGATGTTCATTTCTTATTTTTTTTCATTAGATTCCCATCGGAACCTAGACAATGTGACCCTTAGATTCCTTATAAACTTTGTATCGTCAATCATCGAGGATGATCCAGCTTACTCCATTTGTTCCAATTAAAACGTTAATTTTTTCATTAGATTCCCATCGGATCCTAGAAAATGTGATGATCTTTCGAAGCTGGCCCCTCCCTCATAAACTTTGCATTGTCAATCATCAAGGATGGTCCAGCTTACTCCATTTGTTCAAACTAAGTCGTTGATTCTTTTTATTAGTATGCCATTGGTTCCTAGATGCTCAAACTAAGACGCTGATTTTTTATTAGAATGTCATTGGATCCTAGACCGTTTTGACTTTAATCAAGACTGGATTTTAATAGAATATTATTGTAAACAAACATTTCAAGGGCGTGACACCACTAGGGCGTCACACACGTCCCGTTTGTAATCACGTTCTGTTTTTTTTCAGTCAATCATTGGACAATAAACCACCGCCTCGTGTGTGCCAATGGTCGACTGTTTCTCATTCGGTTTCATACTTGGATCTAACCACCCCTCTATTCAATTCGTTTCAGGCACCTTTGCCAATTTCCGTTTTCATCTAATCAAACCATGGTCATTCACAGGTTTCAACCATTATATTCCATGGCCTCATCCATTACTCATGACTCCTTCCTCCAAGAGGCTCACACCATTTATTATGTTTACTTATTAATGTTTTGGGCGTGACGTCACTCGGACGTCACACACGTCCCGCTTGTAATCAGGCTCTCCTCGCGATGTGTTGATTAAAAAAAAAAGTTGATTTCGACCTCCATATAGTGTGTTTTTCTTGACTTTTGGGATGCGAGGGGTCTGGGACTACTTTTCGTGGTTTGCGCATGCGCAGTAGGTCTACGCGGAAATAGGCTCACAGGAATGCGGGAGGACTGGGGAGTCGTTTGGCGGTCTGCGCATGTGCCTACGATCCCATTCACGTGACTGCGCAGGGCAAACGCTTGAACCCCAACTGCGCATGCGTCTAACTACCAGGCTCTAATCTCAATAAAACTATGCCAAGAATGTGGATTCAACTCTTGTGTGCGTGTGTTCTTTATTCCATGGGGTCACGTGAATAACCATGCCCATATATGGGCATTTGTGACGTCAATAAGTCACATGGGCGAAATGCGCGATTCTGATTGGTCGAGAAAATTTCTGCTGGGTTCTGATTGGTTACTCCCTAGTGTAGCCCTTATTACTACTTCTATGGTTCAAAATGGCACAATGGTGACTGTTAGGCAGAAGTGTGCCAAATGCATTAAGGGATATGTGTGGACCTCTCAAAGGATGATGCCTCATGGAAAATACCCAGCTGGTAATGTCCTATTGAGTCTTGCTGTTTTGATGGCTGGTGCCTCTATCAGCAAGATTCTCCTTGTGTTTCGTCACATGGGACTGGTTTGTTACTCTGCAAGAACATTTTTTAAGCACCAAAGATCGTTCCTATTTCCAGCTGTTATTCACCATTGGGAGTCCTACCAGACTGACCTTCTCAATAAGGTCAAGGACCTGAAGGATGTAGTTTGGGCTGGGGATGGCCGGTATGACTCCATGGGGCACTCAGCAAAGTATGGTGCATACACATTGCTATGTACAACCATCATGAAAATTGTACATTTTGAGCTTGTTCAGGTATGAAGGTTTTATAAGTGAAGCCCTTCCATATAAAAGACATGACATGAAAGCCACCATTTGTTAAAACCAAGAGAGTGCAGTTAAACAAAATAAGGTGTTACTCAACCTTGAAAAATTGTATTCAGTTCTAGTGATATAGAACCCTTACAACACATCTTCTTGTCATCCAATGAAAATATTCAGTAAAATTACCCATTTACTTTGTTATGTGAATTGACCTTTTTTTTTTACCCTACCATTGCAAAAATATAGTTTCAAGCATCTATTAAAAACAAGATGTCTTGGACCCGCCAATTATTGAAGATTTATTAGATCTCTTTCCCAAAACATTTCTTACAGGCAAATGAGACTACCAAACAGAGCTTGAAGGAGTAAAACGGTGCTTTGGCTTTCTGCAACGGCTTGGCGTTAAAATTGGGGTGTTTATCATAGGGGTATAGCCAAATGGATTAAAGAAAACTGCCCTGGCACTACTCACTTCTTTGACATTTGGCATGTGGCCCGGTCAGTTACCAAAAAGCTGCTTGCTGCAAGTAAAGAGAAGGGATGTGAGATCATCCAGGATTGGATGAAGGGAATTCGTCGACACCTTTATTGGAGTGCTACATCTACCAAACCTGGTTTTGGCAGCCTCATCCTGGCTAAGTGGAATTCATTCCTGCGACATGTTGCAAATAAACATAATGACCACCCTGACCCACTCTACAAGGTCTGCAGTCATGGACACCTTCCATCTAGAAAGTGGATCAAAATTGGTGAGGATATAATTTTTAATGTATTTATAGTTAAAGGTCACATCTGTTAGAATATTGTCTTTAATTTTAGTGTACCAAAAGTTCATGTACACCCTTTTACTTTTTATTGTAGGTACTGCTGCCTATGACAAACTTAAAAGCCTTCTCAAAGGCAAAGCATTGCTGAAGGATATAAAGCAGTTGTCTCCAGATGCCCAAACAAGTTGCTTAGAGGGGTTTCATGCCACCTTGAACCGCTGGCATCCAAAGATGATTGGTTTCTCTTGGCTCGGCTCCTTTTGCAGGTAGTACTAAATTTTTGTTGTCAAATACAGAAAATTATGTTACAAAAACAGTTACTGTCCAACATACATTTTTACAATTAATATTGGTTTTTCGTGACTATTGACTACATAACAGTTAGTACTTAATTGACAACTAGTGGTTTCAACATATTTTGAAGTAGGTGCCTGACTCTGGAAAAGTAGGCAGCTGTTACAATCAAGATTGTTTGTCAAGAGCTGATTGTTATGACCAGAGTAGCCGGCGACATGCAATCAAGTAGCCAGTTTAACTTTGGCGGTCACTGGCTTGTTTTGAAACCCCTGATTGACAACCCATTTCAAGTCATTGCACCCTCCTCCTGCCCCTCTTGTCACAGAATGCTTTTTTGGAATTTGTTTTCAGACACATCCTTGCCAGTCTCCACTTCAATGAGAGTCTTCATAGGGATACCCAGGTAACCAAGGATGGTAAAAAGTATTTCCGAATCACATACCCAAAATTCAAGCTAGGTGAGGAGGTTGTTCGAGAAGTGGCTGCACCCTCAACATATCGTAAGTTGACTCTAGAGTGAATCATTGTTATACTAATAGTTTTTACTTTTTATCCTTTTCAGAATAGTTCTAATATTTTATAAAAAACAAAAAAGGATAAGAAAGGATATCAAGTGAATAAAACTTGCTTTCCAGACTGCAGTGTTATCCACAACCTTTGCATGTACATTATTTCATGGCAAACTACTTTGCAGTGGCTACAATATTGATGAACTTATAGGGATGTAAATATGATTTTATGATTATGTACATTTAATCAGCGCAGAATATTTAAAGTAAATATTTGGCAATTTTGTTTTGTATAGGGTATGCTGAAGATATAAAAAAGCTGCTCTTTAATTTGTCTAAACAAGAGATGAAAGAGGTTTTTGACAGTTATTCTGCCTGGACTCCAGAACCCCTCACTGCTCAATTCAGTGGTCGTGTTGATAAGGAAACAGCAGTAAAAACACACGAAGAGAAACAAGGACAAAGAATCAGCACTCAACTTTTCCCAGCAAGTATGTTACATTTCAATTATTGAATAAATACCTATAAAGTTATTCTGAGAAGGGGAAGATAAAGTATTTGCACATGTACAGGCAAAATAAGGGTACAACCAAAACTCTGTCAATACAAGAAAGTGGCACATCATTAATTTATAATTCACAAAACTTCAAATAAAATTTGCTTGACGAAGTATTTTTGTTTCTTCAGGGGCAGAGCAAGAAGTCCTGCAACAAGCAAGCTGCAGTTTCAACAGCCTGCCAGTGGCTCTAGGGCAGTGCTCAAAATGCAAAAGACCAGGCCACACCAGAAGAAAATGTCCTGAATAAATAATGTTGAAAAAGAAATTTTCTACAATTAACTCCTTTGAAATGCACACTGTATGGGTGCTTTTTTAGTAAACCGCATGAGAAAACCATTTCAATCAAAAATCAGTAGTAGAGTGTTACGTGTAACTTGAAGGAAACAAAAAAAAATGAAAAATATGAGCCCAAAAAACATAGTTAGGTCTCTTAAGGTCAGGATCGTTACAGAGTTGACAAAAGCACCAAACTTTGCACAGCGATAGCTTATTGCAGTACCAGGAATATTAGAGGGGGTGCCCAATGCAAATATGCCACTGAAGCGTGCTAAACAGGATTTAATTATTCTAAATTTCACCTGCTGGGGTCCCTGTGATGTTTTGATTGAAAATTGTTATTTAATACCTTAAATCACTCAGAATACTCTTCTCATGTTGTAAACAACAATTTCACTCGAACATCTGGCATTCCCAGCCATTATTAGTTTATTGATTGTATAATTAAGTTGATTATTACTTTGCCCTTAAAGCAAGTCCACAGTCCGCCCACATTTTCATAAGTCATTTCTAAGATGGCCTCGTCTTTGCTTCATAACTTGCAAATACTCAGCTTCTGGGGTTCTCTTCTTCTTTTCTAATGTCTTTCAATTAGAGCAGGCCTTATTGTGTGGCTTAAGCCTTATTTATCAGGTATTACTTGTTATTACTTGTCACTTTAAGCTGAAGAAAGCGTATGGCATAGCGATTCACACACAAAATTTCAGAAAAAAGAAATTGTCAAAGAGTCTGTTGTATCACATATTATCAGAGATTTATGACAGCTGTTCATGAAGAGCAAATAACGAAATGACAGAACCCAAAATAGTTCTTTCCTGAGGAGGTAATTAATTTATCAGCTTAACATAGGCCTGGATGCCTATCAGTCTCTCTTTATCTGCTGGACGCACGTGCATGTTTTGAGAGAGAAGCACGCGTCATGGCTCAAGTCATATCATTTACAATTCCCGCTGTTTGTCTAAGCTTTACAAAGCAAAAACAAACAAAAAAGAATCTGGTCTCATAAACGAAAAAAGAAACAAGTTAGCCCAAGCTTCAAAAAACAGCACAGTTTATCATGAAGCCTTTACATTTGGCACTGAAGCACTCATGTCCAAAAATAATAACAGCTTATCAAGTCGTAAAAGTGAGACTCAATTGGTACAAGATTGACTCAAACTGCTGAAACTGTAGAAAGAGGGCCGGGCTAACTTTTACGGCCTGTTTACATGGAGGAGGGGACCTCAGGTTGGCATGGTAACCCACTTAGGTGGGGTTATATCATGCAGGCTATGTGTTCACTCTAAGAAAATTTTAAGTCTTTGGATATTACAAACGAGCAATTCTGGAACACAACACTGTTTGATCCTTTCACAGTCGCGTTGTTGTCATCTTGGCAAAATCTTTACTTATATTCCGTTCGACGGCCCATTCCTCCCAGCAACGTACCGCCCATGGAGTATTAACTTTCGTGTTTGTCGGTAACCCGCCTGTCCATATAATCTCTCATTTTAATTTGATCACGTTTACATGATAGGTGGGGTGACCCTTCAAGGTGGGTAGCCTGGTCTGCTACACCGGCTAACCCTCTCAGCCGAGGTCAAATTTTCCCATGTCAACGTTTCAAGGTGTGGTAACCCAGGCTAGTCGGGGTCCGATTCGTGATACATCAAATTCGCGCAAAATTCACTTTGGCGCCGGGTGGATTCACATAATTATTAAAGGTAACAAAAGAAAGCCACAACACCGAAGGTTGCAGCAAGAGCAGCAACTGAGCGTAGACGTGGTTTGCCAGCATTTCTCTTGTTTACGTGCTTAGCGACCATTCAATAATCTTGAGAAAGTGCACCTCAGGCGGGGTTGTAAGATTGCATGTATAGGAGGGTTATTTTTTTACCCCACCTAAGCAGGTTACCTCACCTACCTGGGGTCCCCCACCTTTATGTCAACAGGCCCTAAGTCTCAGGAACGGTGAAAATGGTAATAAACGGTATACCTAACCCGGGAATAGCTGTGATACTACTTCCATCTTCAAAAACGTCAGAATGGCAGCCAAAGGAGCCATTCATCGGTGTAACACGAATGTTAGATTGCGGTTGTTTCATGCGTCTCGTTTTGTGACTTTTTTGGGGTTCGTTTTTGTCACATCTCTAAATTTCAATCATGTTCAAAACACCCCTACTAACGAAATATTTCGTAAAGCTCTTTAGAATGATATTCAGCAATAAAAACAAGGTGTGACCAGGAGCCAATTTCTAGGCTCCTAGTGTGGGAACATAGGCATAACTGAATGCAAAGTTTTGCGGTATGCAGTTTGTCAGAAATCTGTCAATTTGAGTGGGCAAAGTTGGGGCTGATGGGCGTCTTTATCACGACCACTCTATTATTATAAGGGACCAGGCCATAATTATTGTTGACCCTTGCTTTTTTTTGGTATTTTCTGTAATTTTCCACAACATTATTTTGTGAAAAGTTTGTAACTGAATTGCTCTTGAGGAATTCATGATTGTAAGATTTTGTAACCACAGTGTATTCGCCTAATTGCATCAAACAAATTACATTCATTTTCGTAAATGATGCATCATTGGTTGGATAAAAGAGGCCTTGTTCCTGTAACTTTTCTTCTGAAGTTAGTTTGTAAATTGTAACGCACTCGTCGACCTTCCTTTTTTCTGAAAGATCGTATAGACCTAACATTAACACCCTGGTGCGAGGGCTCTGAAGTGAATGAGCTCCTTACAGATGTCTAGGCATGCAGGGACCTCATACCGCGACTTCTCTTTAAATGCAAATGTGTAAAAAATAAAGAGTGTTAAAAATTCCTCGAGAGGCATGTCTCGTCCCAGGGCTTAAATAAAAAAGTAGAAAAAGGTAAAGCGACCATATTTTACGTCAATAGCTCGTGACAGTAATAATAACTGATAAACTTGAGGTCGACGGTGCGCTCCTTTTACCCTCTCTCTCCATTAATGCTCCGTTTTAAGGGTATTTAAAGCTGAGTCAAAGCTACACAGAAAGGAGAGACGTTGAAATAAGGATTTGTTGACACCGGGGATCAAACTTGGGACCTCGCCCACCGAAGGCTGTGCAGTAACCAACTGTGCCACCCTTGCTCCTCCTTTTCCCCTTGAGGACGAGGTTGACATGTTGTAATCATTATCTCAAGGACAGGGTTACCAACGAAGCAAATTATAATCTAATCTTAGCTGCACAATTACAAAGTGGGCGCGTTGTCAGTTATGGTTCATGAGGTCGTTCATTTGGCATGTCAATTTAACGATTCTGTCGTTTAGGATGTGACACATTTGGGTTCTATGTTATTGTATGACATCTTTGAAAGATGGCTTTGTGATCTGTTTAAATTGATATGTAATGATATTATCACTGGCAAATCTTAGCAGTGACACTGACAGCCGCACAGTGAACATGGTCACACTTACCGTGTGGAGACTGGGGACTAGTCAGTATTATGTACATGTAAAACTATTTTGAATAGTGTAACAACAACTAAACATTACCAAATTGAAAACTTCAAAGTTTGAAACAAATGTTTTTTGGCCAAATCAAACGAGAAGAGTACTCACCACAGGGTACCCAATCTGTTATTATAGGTGAAAGTTTATCCCCCTTTTTATCTTTAATTAGGACCATTTGTAATGGGCACCCCCTCCAGTATTATTTGGCAGGTGCTAAGGAAGCTCTGTGCCAAATTTGACACTTTTGTCACTTCTGTAACGATCCGGCCTATATTTTGCACTAAGAGACCTGACTAACAGTAGTTGCATTGTGGGGGGTTACCCCCTTTATGATAATTCCCTTGTGCATGAAAATAACATAAACAAATTAAGCAAAATCATGTTTGGTTTAATTAACATGGCTCATTATTATTGTACATTTGATAACATTGATTATATACTATGCCAAATAAAATCTATTCTGGCAGTGCGTTTCTGTATCCTCTTGATTGCAAAGTCTGGTATAAACGAGACCTGATGTCATGATAAATACAGGCTGGAAGGGGCCTTGTGTTTTCCCAGCCCATATACCCACAAAGCCAGCGTATCATGCATCTATAAGCCACTGCACGAATGAATCTGGAAAAAAAAAAGCGAACACAGCTAAGCAAGGAAGTGATCTGAGGTCGTATCTATAGATCTTGTCACGGACTGTGTTTTGGAAAGCACCGTGACGAGTTGGCAAACGCGAGAGAAGTCACAGCGTGTGCATGAGCATTCAGTGTCGAATAATTTTTGTAAAACAACCGTTTTCAAAAAAGAAAATAACAATAAAACACTCAAGCCACGAAGTACAGTATTCTACTGACAAATTTTCGGAGCCGTGCCTGCGCGCCTGAATTTTCCCGGGTTTGTAATTTTTCCCGGGAAATTTTGGTCGGCGAAAGCGGTTCTAGCCCAGATCAGGCCATTAAATTTTGCTGCAAAAGTCCATTACCTTGTAACTTAGATTCGCAATTCATACATTTTTGAAAACGGCCATTTAACGAAAATTTTTGGACAATGGATTCTCATACAAACTCTGTAATTTCTTACCCGTCAAGATGGCTTTCAAAACCGTGGCAAGGTCTAAACAATAGAACTCTTGCCCTTGTTGTCCTTCTAACTGTTACCCAAACAGCGCAAACATTTCAGCAAAAATTTCTAGTCTGCAAAAATAATAAAGCTTGCAAGGGAGAGGATAATAATATATCTGGAATTAAAATTATTTCTCACTCGTTCTCTGGAATTCCAGATCGTCGGCGGTAGCTTCGGCCATCTTTGTTTCTCAACAATGGAGCCACTTGAAGCAGAACCGTCCTGCTGCTTAGAGCTGCGTAGTCTTCATGCTGTGTTTATACAGCTGATGCGTTCGATGGATCCATCGTAGACAAGCTTCCCCGATGAATGGACCACCTCTCTAAAACAACGAAACTCTAGCGCCCCAACTAAATTCATGTCGTTGCATTGCTCACATTGGCACCTGAGAAGGCAGGGGAAAGAACGTAAACATAAAAGACGAGCTTCTCCTAAATATAAATTGACAGGAAAGAAAAATGCAATACAAATTATTGAATTTGAAATGGCTATACAAACCAGGAAGTAACTGGAACCGTTCTTTCATATCTGGCCTCTAAAACAGTTGGTGTAAGGCCATCCGCATCGGCATCTTCGTTCTCCTCTTCCATATCTGGTTCGGCGGAAGCGTCTGCAAGAGGTTCGTCTTCAGCTAGGTTGAACGAGACTAAGAACAACCTCTACATCTACATCATCATTTTCTATTTCCTCTTCTGGATCTGTTTCTTCTGAGTCGCTTTGTTCAACGCTGCTTATTTCCGAATCTCTTGACATCTCTCGACTATGCTCTTTATAGCGGAGCTCCACGCGCGCGCGAAGCGCGCGCGTGGGCGGAGCCCCATTGCTAAGTAAATCTACCCATCCCAGAAAATTTGGTAATCACGTGACCGTACACCGACCGCCCGTCCGTCCGCACCACAGGAAAACCAATGTTTACTCTCACACTTTCAGCTAGTTTGGGAGCCCAAGAGAAAACTAATTGCACAGGCTGCACATCAATGTTGTGATCAATTGACAGCTATCAAAACAGGGCATCCGCTGACCAGTATCACCTGAACGTACCTCGGGCTCAAGTGTTGACCCATCGAGGTCGAGTATTTTTTTAAAGTTATCCGCTGACAAATTACCAGTTTCAAATGATCGCAGGCTCAAGTTTATTTTTTCCAAGGATTCATATCAAATATGTTGTGTTTATGTCACTATGGCCCCGCACTATTAGGATTTTGATTTCAAACTGACCTCGGAAGCGAAAATTCATCCAGTTTTTTTGAAAAGTACAGGCGAGGAAGACCTTATCTTACCATGGTCACGCGTTGGTCACCCTCTACGTCCAATTTTTGTACTCTGATTGGTCAAAATTTGACAGGTGAGTTCATGCGGAAAAATTATGCAGCATCTTGAAAGTAGTTTACTTTGACAGCTGAAGCTGACAGAGTTTTGTGTCAACTTGTGATGTTTTTAACTGTCTTTTTCCTCTGGATGTACAAAATGAAATACAGCTGCTATCAAGAGTCTTCTGTTATTCATGGCTGGTTTGTTTACTGGGTTTTGGTTGAGAAATGCGTCGCTTGTCTAAATTCGGTAAATCGATTTCGGATGGCATCGTTTTCGTTTTTCACCTTGCTTAATGAGTAAGAGGGTTTAAAAGTCTCAAGCAACTGTGGCCACCCTTGATAGCTTTCAGGAACTGAATCTCGAATGGTAAGCCTAAGTAGTTATTTATTTGATGTTTGTATTTCATGAAGTCTTGCACAGTTCACGCTGACAGTTTATGCGGCAAGTTTATGCGGCAAGTTTATGCACATTTGTAGGATTTGAGTCAATGATCTGACCTAGTATCAGGTTTGATATAAGCTTACAGAACTTTAAAAAGCCCTCAGATATATTTGCTCACCACAAATAGAAAGAAAACGTTCCGAAGACTATTTAGTTATAAATTTGGCTGTAGAAAGAAAACTTTGAGCGATTTTCTTGCTTCGAGGAGTTCACCTTCCAAAACAGTAAACACCGCGCCGGGAAACCGGCTAAAACATAAACTTAAGCTTTACGCGTACGCTTAAAGACTCAGGATTTTTAGAGACACTTTAATACTTGTCTTCGTGAATGAAAATTGTTGTCTCTGTAAATGTTTCACGGAATTATATCTCTTTTTTTGATTGTTAGTAGTCTCTCTTGCAATTTTAATCGCTTGTCCGTGCCGTTTGTTTTCATCGTTCATGACAGGACGTGAACAATCGATGAAAATCGATGATCGGAAAATCAATCGTTGACAATCGATTAATTACTGTTGATTAGCATCGATTGGCATCGGCCAATCGATGATCAATCGATAATCACACTTGGGTGGTCGCGAACTTGATCGATTGCCATCGGCTGGCACTAAATTCATATCTCCGTATCTTCAGGTATCGCGGGAGTGTACGCAGATCGTATATTATTTTAACCTCAAAAAAAGTCACTTTTTTAACCTAAATGACAGCTCTCTCGGCCGTCATGTAAATGCTGCGTCACGGAAGAGCTTAGAAATTCAAGTGTACTCTATTAAAAAACCAAGAACCTTTTTGAAGCGAAAATTTGTTTTCAGCTCCTCTAATTCACCATGAAAGTAAAATCTCAGTAGGATCGATAGTTTTGTAGTTTGAATTTTAGTGACGTCATGTGAAAACCAACAATAGACGTTTTACGTTAAGTTTTAAAATTATCGTTGTTGTTACAAATAAAATGTCACGTATAACAGAAAATGTGTGCATTAAATTGAACATATTTTACGAATACTTAGCTAAACTGTTGGCTCCAAACGTTACATCACGCATAAAATATTTCACACCTCACCTAATTTTCCAGCTGTTTCGTTGACGCATAACAGCGGGGTTTGTTTTTCTTACACACAAATCCGTAGTACGTTTCTATGAATTTTAAACTCGCGCAAAACGTGTGGGCGAATAAACAAGTTTACGCATTGCTAGTCGCTAGTTTTTATACTCAAATAAAAAGCAATGATATCAAAATGTGTAACTTTATTAGTACTCCATTGAAATGTTTGACTGAATAGGTAATCGATTGATATTGCAATTTGATATAATTGATCGATTCCCATCGATCGATATTGATAATCGATGATAATGAATAATCACAAAAATTTTCGTCATCGATTGTCCATCGATTATCAATATCAATCGATTAATTGATATCAATTGTCATCGATTGTTATCGATTGCCATCGATTACCGATTGATATTGATAATCGATGATAATCGATAATCACAAAAAGTTTCGTCATCGATTGTCCATCTGTTATCAATATCAATCGATTAATTAATATCGATTGTCATCGATTGTTATCGATTGCTATCGATTATCGATTTCATCGATTGTTCACGTCCTGTTCATGACCATCGCTTGCAGGAGTACTCAAAAATGTCGCGCGTATCAAACGCTTATAAGATTACACATCGTTATAACTGAAACCATTAAATAACAAAACAAATAATGATAAATTCGCTATTATGTTGAAGCGTAACTCTGTTAAAGTTCATTCAAACACTCGACCACACTGACAGCTCGCACTATAGAAACGAGAACCAGCTGGCCGTATGGGTGATTTTGGAAATTTTCTGAAATTTTTGAACGGTTTGGCTCGTCCTGAATATTGACTGAGTGCAATTTGTCTTGAAAAATAGTGAAATACCGCATTCTGTCCGAGCTCTGTATGATAAATAGTACTCTTTCACCTCAAATGTGGTGTATAAAAATTACAAAAGGTTGGTTTAAACACCCCCAGATTTGTTGGCAAGAATTTGTAAAGTAAACCTGTCGAACGCAAAAAAATTTGGCGTGATTTGTTTTCCAAGAATTTGTTTTCGAGGCCTAATCTACTGTGATCTTGAATGTGATCGAAGATGTTTGCTATTTTTTGGGTGTACATATAAGGTTATCAATTCGATGTAAGATGTTGCCCTCTAAAATAACTTAGCCTTTCCCTCAAAAGTCACATGAATGTGCCCTTAAGTTAAATGATTTGTGGATTAAAAGTTTATTGTTTGATTTAAATTATAAATTTATTAAAATTGGAGCTTCGCTTTTAGCCCTGGCTAAATCTATATATTACTATCTTTTATAAAATAACTGAGATAGTACGCGTGATCTGATTGGTCAAAAACCTATGGTTTATTATACCGGTAAACCCATAGAAAAAGGCATGCGGACCACGAGCCATAAACAAAACCCGCTATTTATCTGCAAACAACGATTTTAGAAAGGCTAAAAAACAGAACAAGTTACTTACCGTAGCCCTTCCTAATATTAAAAGCGTTGGTTTCCACATTTTATTACTGAGGGTCACAATTCGCGACTGCCATAGCTTTAGAAGTTATAAAGTACAAAGCTGGAAAGCAGTTTACATTTCACGACGATGCCAAATCGCAGAGAAAGACAACAACTGTGTGAATTTCTGGTGTAGAAAGTCTCTAGGAAAACTTAACCATGTGCCAACCAGCAACAAAACGGATAGTTTTAGCATTCTTGATTTATTTTATGTCAAAATTAAATTCCTTAATGAAAGAAATTGTTCCAAAAAGAGATCTCTGATCAAGATATGGTACAAAATCGGCCGCTGTAGGTTGTAAACAAGCTGCCAACGATGATGAAAGATGTCAGAGTTTCGGGCTGGTTTTTTCCAACATTTGCACAAATTATTCGGTGATATCGATGCCATAACCTACCTCAAACCACCTGACTTCACAAATCGACAAATATTAGCGCCAATATGTGGCTACGGCAAAGAAACCTTTCTTCACCACTGACATATTTCCATCGGTCGCTGTACGTGCATAAAATTAAAAGTTACATGCGACAACTTCGCAAATGCAGCCACGTCGTTACCGCAGCATTTCTTTATCATAGTAAAGTCCAGAAAACAGATCTTAAACCACTGCAGCTTGTAAAAAGTGAATGAAGTCCTCCATTACAATAGCTGCCAGTTCCGTCTGTAAGCACGAAATTTTTACGGATCGACTCAACAAAATACAGCTGCGTACAGTCTGATGTTCAATTAATTTCTGCTTCTGTAGTGAACAAACCATGAACGTATTCTTTCATTGTACGTTCGCATGAATATGTGTTGACTTTTCCTGTAAAACAGCTTTCATAAGTTATCATGTAATGAGCGCAAAAACTCGTGTTTTGAAGTGCTGTTGTTTGACTGAACTGAGTTTTGAGAAAGTTCAGCGCTATTAAATGGTGAGTCATGATTGGCTTATGATGACTTTAGAGAGAAGACATGACTTGATCACGATACTAAAAGCATATTTTTTTACCTAAAAGACTCCATTCTACTAAAAGTTATTTTATAAAAGCAATAGACCACACTTTCTATGGGTTTA